ACCATACCGACCGATACCATAGACCTAGATAAAGGTCTTTATAGGTCTATGACCGATACAGATTTCGTTTCTAATAATAGATTGTTATAATTTTATATTATGTTTACCATTTCGCATATTATTATAAATGATAATAGTCGATAAGAAAATTATTATTATTCTTATCTGTTCTATCATTATTTTTATTATCTATTGATATAGAAGTATACGGAAAACAGATATAATTTTTAAAAAATATTAGATAGTTGAAAGAAGTAAAAATATTAAGTAAAGATTGTCCTATAGTTTAATTCATGATACTTTCATTAAAAAATGTCTAGCGGCGTCGTTGTGATACAGTGAAACCTCTTAATACCCGACATTATCGGTCGCCAAAATTTCGTCCGTTACATGGAGGTGTCCGTTAAGGGAGATTTCACTGTATTTGAAATGGACATTTTTTTTAGTCTCGTATTTTGAATTTTGAAATCTGTCACAAATCACAATGTAAAATGTTGGAAAATTCAAGACGTCTATAATCGTCATCGCTGTTTATATCGTTTATGCCTTTATTGTGGGTTATTTATTATTCTGTACATTCCACTTTTCGACTAAATCTCGTTATTTCATTATGATCGGCCAAGAATACCCATGGGCCTGCACTGTTCAATTGTTTTAACAAGCAAGTAATATTTATAATAAATTTAAAATTCAACAATTTTAATAATCTATACGAAGTAGAAAATATTAAAATTAATTTATTATAACAATTAGAGAATAGATATTAATACATATTTTACTCATTATCTATTTTGGTGTAATTAAATAATTTTTTCGTCAATTAATTTTTGTTATGTACCATTTAGGGCCCCGAAATATTTTTGCCCTGGGCCCCCTAATGTTTAAATCCGGCCCTGTTTATGATAATATTATGTTGTCGAAAAACAATGATAATGTTGCCAAGATAGAACAATCCACCTCGAATGTCAAAAAATTAAATGATAATATTTGCGATGATTTTTTTGGTTCGGCTCGTTTAATTTGTTTGTTTTTTTTAAATCTTTCACGGGTTTACTGCACAGCCACTGCAGTAACAGCCCATTTAATTGGCGCAAGCGATGAAAATGGGCCGTTACAAGTCCACTACCTCCATCGCCCTATTCGGTAACGGTGTGTAAACGGTAATGGTATAGCGGCCCGTTATACAAATACAGAATTGGGTTTTTTACGGTCGGCAATACGGTCGATCCGGTACATTCTTATCGGTCGGTAACCTGTCGGCGAACTGGTACGGCCCCGTCGCCGGGACGGTTCGTTCCACCGCCGTCCGGTCGTCGACGGCCCGGTGGCGGCGGGGTTCGCTGCCGGAAAACCTCGCCGCCGGAAAACATACGCCTATCGATACCGTTACGATACCGCGGCTCTTATCGATTACCGCGGCCCGCGGTGTTTCGCGTACAGCCGCCGCCGGAATATTATCGAACACGACCACAGTATAAAAACCGTCTCCGGCGTCGGACCGGCGGCGGCGGCGGAGAATCGGCGAAATCATTACGCCGTATCGTTACGGTTAGCGCGCGGCGTCCCGCGACTCCTCCGGTTCGACAACGGCAACAACGACGCGCGCGTTCGACGCCGTAAATTAACCCGTTTTATTGGTCTCGCCGGTACGCGGCGTACGCGCACACGAGACGCCGGTAGCCCGCTCCGCCCCCACCACGCCGCCGGACGGTTCGCGGGCGGCGAGTAAACGCGGCCCGCGGCTCCCGGTCGCGACGGACCGTACGCGCGCGCGTACGGTAAACGCGGCCGCGCGGCCCGTTTACAGACCGAGACTTTTATCGCGCGGCCCGCAACGGCGCAAATAATATATCGTTAAAATAAACGGTCGCCGGCCGCCGCGGGGCCGACGAGAATTATCGTTGTATTATAATTGCGTTTACAACAACCGTTGTCGCGTCTTTTTCGTTTCCTTTCGGGTGTTTACGCGTACGGCGCGTCGTCGGTGGCGTGGCCGGCATTTTAAATTGAGACGGGTGGCGGCGGGGTGGGGATAGGGAGGGGGGTTGAACACGTTTTCGCCGCACGCGACGCGGGCGACGACAAGACGAAAGAAGTGTTTCGACACTCCACCGTTTCGGAAAAAAAAAAAAAAAAAAACCAAAAACAAAACAAAACAAACGTAGAAAAGTGTTTTCGTTAATATTATGCAAAAGTGCAAAACGCATACCGCAACGCCGTCGTATATACTTTGGACGGAAATGTACGTATGTATATAAAAAAATAAAAACGGAGACATACTGGATGGGTCACCGTTGTAGACGAGAAGTCGGAAAGGTATAGAGAGGAAATTGAATGTATAAAATATGCGCGCAACGATTATTCGTTGCTATCGATAATTCCGAAAATTACGATTGAACATAATACATTTCGTAAATTTTCCCGTTTTTTCCAGGTTTTTCTCATTTATTGTGATTACTGCTGAGAATATCTAAAAACCTCTTGAGCACCACCCCAGTCGGATTTATTTTCAAAAGAGTGTTGCGTTTGAAAATCGGACCGAAATTGCTATTGACATCGTTGTAAAATCAATACATTTCCCATTCCGCGCTCAGAATCTAAAATGAAATAAGAATTATGGGTCTCCGAATAACTCCGTGAAGTTAGGTATGACCTAACTATAATTATTTTTAATCATTCCGTCTAACAGATCCGTTTTCCCAGGAGAATTTTGAGTAAAAGCTGCAGCTATTATATAATTTTCATTCGAGGTTTTTTTTTTTTTTTATTATTATTATTCATGTTAGCCGATTGAGTCCGTTTTACTGTCTATCATCACTGCACCTTAAAATCGTTTCCATACGGCTCAGCGGAGTAAAACTCTTCTGTAAAGAAGAGAAGAAATGACTGGAAACGTAGCTAACACTCGAGTCGCATAACGGCGTATAATAATACTGTATATTTAAACACGACCCACGGGCGTAGACCACAACCTTAGCCCACCCTGGCTACGCCTCTGTGGCTAAATATACTATAAATTAGGAACTGGGATTTCAACGCGCGAGCCCTTTTTTTTTCTTAACCGATCTGAGACAACGCTTCCCGAATAGGTACTTACGAGTGAAAAATACTTTAAAAGCCGTAACAGTCGGAACATATATATTGTGTACGTGTTATACATTTATGCTACATTCGTACTGCTTGGAGCGGCCTAAACTGTATAATAATATATAATACTGATGGGGGGGGGGAGAGGCAGTTCGTTGGTTACCGTGAACACGAGTAAACCCGTTACAGCCTTCCTACAAGTAAAGTCTTTAATCCGCAGTATACGAACCTTCCCTAAACAACTTCTATCGCAACATCGATTCTCCGACTACGTTATAAAGTGAAACTTTTATTTTGCATGCTTTTTTTTTTTTTTTTTATCAATAACTTTTTCCGTTCATTTTGTTAGATTAAGACGATTAAGTGTATACTTAAAATGCTAATAACATAATACGAATCAACAGTTTGAATGTGGGTATCTGATTGGTTCAAAATATTATCTCGAAAGGGCAGACATTTTCGAATGCCTCCATAAAATAAAGGTACCTGTGGCTAAAGGTAGCCACAGGGCTTTGTGTAAGCTGGACTAATATCAAAAAAAAAAAAAACAATGTATTAAGTACAATAGTAATGGGTTTTGTGATTGGTTTTGCGTTAGATTTTTAAATTTTTGGAATTAAATATTTATTATTTTTTACATTGCCTTTTCTTTCACCGTGCCACAGATACAAGCATACGTTATGCACGTTGCAAAGTAAAATTTCGTTTTGAAAGTCGTTCAGCAAACCGATTAACTACATTATTATAGTTTATTATGTTAACATTTAAACCTGCACTTACCTTTTCCATCGCTGTATTATTTCATATATTTTCGCCGCCCGGATTTCTATACAGTTTTCAATATTACTGTTTGTATTCAATAGCATTTTATGTATACACTCGTATATTTTGCCATTACTCGAACAAGTATGACTCGCGTGTAAAACAATGCGCATGTTTACGCTAATAGCCGACGTGCAAGAAAGGCTTAATACGGTTTCTTGAAATCGTTGTACGACTGGCAAGACTTAAGTCGGATTGGCCACTTTTGAAAAATAGCGTCAATAATAACATGTTTGTTTTTGACGTCGGTTTACCTATAATATTTATTGTAACTGGAGTGATCGAGTGACTTTCCTCCAACATACATTAAAAACATACAACGGATTTTACGTTATTCGGCTCTATACCGCGTTTTCGCTGAGAAAAAGAATTCGGCCCTTTTCGGCCCGATAGCTGAGATCTAGACGCGATCCAGGTAAGTCCGGCTCGCCGCCGCCGTTAAAAAAGAACCCCATCGACCGGTTGACCGTGAAATCGCGGCCGCAGAACCAACAAAACCGTTATATAATACAGCAGGATACAGCAGGATGTACAGCAGGATATTTAATTCACAGTTAAGGAGTAGCCCGTTAACGTGTCCTTTATTGCACGTGGTGTGTGTGTGTGTATTAATTATATATGTTTGTTTGTGTATGTGTGTGTGTGTGTGTGCGTGAACCGGAAAGCTGCGGCAGTCTATTAACTCTGCGAGGAAAAAGACGTTTATTTTCTCCACCTCACGCGATAAGTCGCCGGCGATTGGCCGAGATTCGGTAATTTCTCTTCCGCCCCATCCCCTCCACCATCCGTTTTCGACTCTTGCGGCATAATATAATAATATATTATAACGTGTACAACATTATATTTGTATACATGCATAATATAATATTATTAAATTTGTTCGCAAATCAATAAAATGCAAATACAACGGTATCGGTGTGCGTGGATGCCGAAATACGCGATAATTCGTACCCCGGAACGATACGAGGAACAACAAATTACATTACGGTACATAATATAATTTTGAAGAAACAAAAATAATATGAAATAATAAACACGTGCTTTTTAAAGTTCAATATATATATTTTTTTTTTAGTTTTTAATTTTATATAGTTTGACGAGGATCAAATTCAACGTAATTTTATTTCGTCACAATAATAATAATAATAATAATAATAATAATAATAATAAAATCTTAAAATGTACAAAGTTTTAAGCCAGGAAAAAAAAAATATAATAATAATAAACGAGTATAATATTAATAATATGATTATGCTATTATTTGTATGTATAAATATAATAATATAATACATGTATACAGATAATAATAATAATAATAATATTTTAAATGACGTAAAACAATATTATATATAATAATATATTATTATGTCAAACGCTATTTCGATAAACAAATAAAAAAAAAAAAAAAAAAAAAAAACAAAAACAAAAACGAACGTTATCGTACATAACACGTAAATATACGCGCTGTGTATTATTATATCATCGTAATATAATATATAATAATAGTTTGAAACAAATATTTTTTATTTTTTTTTTTTTTTTCCATCTTAAAATACTAATAATACTCTTATTATTTTGTACGAATTTTACAGAGGGTTAAAAAAAAAAGGGGCGGGGGAATTTTTTTTTTGGGTTGGGCGGGGGTCAGACGGGGGAACATATTATACTCGTCGTATAACGTACGGCGGGAGGGGGGGGGGGGGGGGAGAGAGGGGATCGGGGAAAGACTTTTCGAAATCCGTTTTCGCTGCTCACGTATTACTATTATTATTATTATTATTATTATTATTACAAAAAAAACGTATTTATAGGTTATATTATTATAAGTTTGTAATATTTTTGCGTCGTACCATTTTGGCATTCCGAGAGCTTTCGCCGCCTTTACACTTTGCGTTTTATAGCGAATTCGGTCTATACGAAAAAAAAAACAACAAATATACATATAATGTGTTCGTATGTAAAAAAATTTGGCATGGACGCGTACGCGGCGTTCACAGGGTATATACCTACACTAATAGGCGATCGATACGCGCATATACCTACGGGGTGTATGTAATGATTTAACAATTTCCTATACACATATTGTAATAATAATTGTTAAAAAAAAAAACTGTTTAATCCCGTGGCGAATATACCCTGTATATTATATTTATATGAAGATGATAATAATAATAATAATAATAATAATAAATAGCGTAAGTACGGCGTGATCGTCGGCGTTGCCACTGCGAGTCGAACGCAAGCTGTCGCCGCCGTACAAACGGTTCTAGTGTGACGGCCGGTGACTTTTCTGACGCTACGATATTACGAAGTGCGATGCAAAGGTAAAAAAAAAAAAAAAAATAAAGAGAAGAAAAAGTATAATTTATTCTAACCTAAAATATTATTTTATATTCCACGCGCCCGCGTGTGTGTGATTTTGTATAAAAAACCGATTGTTTTCAATAGATAAAGTCGGAAAAAAATAAACGAGTCTTTTATAATCGCACAAGTGTTTGGTAGGCATCGCGATAGTGAAATTATGGTCGGTTCGCGGGGTTGGCATAATGTGGCGATAAACAATTTGATAACAAATCCGATACTTAATAGAAAAGAAGTTTGTAAGACCGATTTTTATATGTATAGTGACGATAATTGAATAGCGTTTTACCTGTATACAATTATATAGTAATGTTTTTTTTTTTTTTTTTTGATAAGTCTCAGCAGAACTCATATGGGTACGCGGTTACGACAAAAGGGAAAATTTCCGATATTCCTCTGCGTACATTTTTTTTATGTGTATATTTTGTCGATAAAAGTTCACTTCGGCGGTGATCCCATTGTGATATGATGAACGGGGTGTGGGGTTGTTTTGTGAACAGGGAAATGTGGTAAATTTTCGGGTTCTTTTTTCTTTATAAAGTTTATAAGAGGTACATTATTTTCAAAGTAGGCTGTGTAAAAAAACATCTCGTATTATAATAATTTATTATGACGATTATTCATAAGAAGTAATTATACAATTAAAAAAAGAAAAAAACAAAACAAAACAAAAAAAAAAAAAAGTCCTATATAAACAATCGCAATTAACTATATAAATATTATTGGTAAGTATTTAGTTTTTTTTTTTTTCTAAGCATTAGCCTAACAATAATAATAATTATAATAATAATAATAATAATGATAATAATAATAATGATAATAATATAATATTATAATATATAATAGCAGTAAAACACACAATTTGTATAGTCTAATAACAATAACGAAAGAAAAAAAAAAAACAAGAAAAAAAAAAATGTCTAAAATGTACAGTTTATTGTGACTTTTCGTCTTAAATATAGGCAACAAAATAATAATAATAATAATAATAATGATAATAATATCGGCCCTAAAAGTGCGGACTATAATATTACGATAATATCATGTATATATATGTAGGCAATAATAAACAATAAAATCAATAAAGATAAAAATTATAATAATAATAATAATAATAATAATATGAATATGAATAATATGAATAATAATAAGAATGATAATTTTATTATATAATGGTAGATTATGTGGATATTTTTATGTTATTCATTTTTATATAATAATAATATTATTATAACAATGATAGTTTTTAATTACACGTATTATATTACACAAGCGTTATATTGTGTTATAATGTATGTATATATATATTAATATTAAGATATTACAGGTATATAGTACGAATAAAATTTTAGTAAACGGTTCGCACGGGTTTTTATAGTGATTTAATAAAACAATAAATAATAAAATTTTAAAACTATTAAATAAATAAGTGTATTTTTATAGATATTATAGATTTAATAAAGAACGGGGCGGGGAAAAACAATAATAACGCCACACTTTTTTTTTTTATTTCCTCTCTAAATAAAGGTAATATTTTATTTATTTTTTTTTATTTTTTTTTTTTTTTTTATTACTATTATATAAGTTTCGAACACCGGATATTAAGTATATTACGACATTATATCATACTCGAGACGAGCCATATCGGAGGACAAACGCACCCGGTCGGTATTATTTTCGTTTGGCAGTGTCCCTGCTGCAGCGAACGGGTACGAGCATTAGTATTAAGACGCACTTTTCACGGAACAAGTGTAAATATAACGCCGTCCGGAGTGCCAAATCATTTCGTTATTATTAATATTATTATCGCCATCGAGTATTGTATCGAAACATTTGACTATATTACACTGTGCATTATACTGATATTTCGATATAGTCGTACGATGGGACGCATAAACCTACGTTATCATAGACCCGTCAACCGTTCGGTACTGTTCACCGCGCGAAAATCCCGTCGTTTCGATGATATTGTTTACGGACGGGGGGTTTTTTTTTCCCCGTGGAAAAAACCGCGGAAAACGTCGCGTCTTTTTCTTCCCGGACATCGCTTTTCGCTAATGTTATCTGGTTTTTATCGTTAAGGTTTTGGGCAGTCCAACTGGCCGGGACCACGGGACGTCAACTATACGGGTCTATAATATTCGTATTATTGTAATAGAAAATTACGAAAAAACAAAAAAAAAAAAAAAAAAAAAAAAAAAACAATGAACAATGCAAAAAACGAAACGATTTCAATAGTATAATAATATTAATAATATAGGTAATAATATAGTATTTAGTTTAATAGATATAATATAGAAATATAATAATATAATAAATCGTTATAATATGTTAAAAAATATTGGTCGAAAACACGATGACACGAAAATATGTCGGAATTAAAACGGTAAACGGAAATGAAATAAAAATCAACAGCGGTTAATATCGAAATACGGTTTGGGATTTCTCGCTAAAAAATATAAAATCTAGAAAAGCCAAGAACAAGAAAACAAAAAAAAAAAAAAAAAAAAAAAAAAAACAAACGTCAGAACCGACGACGACGGCGGAGTCAGGTGGGGTGGGATGCCTTATAAATATAATATTTGACTATGCACAATACGATAATAATTAATATTACGGGATCTACTAAATCAGTTCTATATAAAAATGTCCGTTATTATAAGTTTAGAATAATACATTGACCTAGTAAAAAATTTACGCCTATTAAATTTTTAATAATATAATAATATATCGTTTATCAATTTTTCATAATATTTCGTTTAATTTATATTATAATATTATTATCGTTAATTTTTTTTTTTTTTTTTCAATCACTATTTACATCAGAAAAAAACACCTAAAATTTACAATTTTTTATCATTATTTTTTTACCGCACATATATATTGTTTTAACAACAATATTATACCGTTCTTATACAATTATAAGACCCGAGTACGTAATAACGTTAATCAGTTATTACGGCGGCGATAAAAAAAAAAAAAAAAAAACGTAATTTTTTTAAAATTTTTTTTTTATTCGAACATCGCGAACCCATCACGGTTTCCCCCGATCACTTCGTTACGCGTTATTATAGAGAAAATGCTATTTTCGGCTTGCGTTACAGATAATTATTGTAATACATAAAACGGGATCAGTGTATCGTAATAATATTATCGCCCCCCCCCCCATACACAGGGACACTAATATTATTAATATTGATATTGTTACATAAATACATATTTTGGGTACGCTGGGTGCGCGCCGTGTGTGCACTGCGCGCGGTGCACAATAAGCGATTTCGCGAGCGCCATGGGATTTTAACGATTTTGATCATTAGGCTCCGGAGTCGTTTTGCACGCGCATACATACACGCGAGCGGGCGCGCATTATATTATTAATATCATTATTATTATAGTCAATAAACGGTTATCATAACCGCCGTTACGACGGCGATACAATAATAATGACGTTGATAAGAGACCGCCGAGAACGCATAACGCTATTGTACCGTTGCGACGGACGATAATCAAATGTTAAACAATTATTCATGTATACGTTTATATTTTTAAAATATGATATTATGTACACCCGCTAAAGATCGTGATAGCATTGTTATTACAATAGGCGGGCAATATTTATAATTTATTTACTGTATGAAATTTACCTATGATAATATTATAATATCGTGTTAAATTTTATTTTAATTTTTTTTTTTTTTATTTATTTTTTTTTTTCATTTTGCCTCTTAAATCGTAACGTTTTCAAAAATCTTTTTAAAATTTAATAATTTTATTGTAATGAATTACGTTTCGAATCGATTATTATTTACACTTATATATAGGTAATATTATAATGTAATAAGTTATTTAAAAATTATGTTAATTTTTCCATATTTTTTTTTTTTTTTTTTTTTAACTTTTTTCATTTCATGCTTTGGTATATCGTTTTTGTATATAATATAATATTGTTAATAAATTATAAAATAATATATACACATATCGTATACGCGCGAAATACTTAAATTTGTATATTATAATATTATACGCGCGTATTACATGGTAACAAAATATGTATAAACGTATTAATAACTAATAATAATTTAAATCAATAATGCGAAAAAAAAAAAAATTACCACCGATTTTTTTTTTCTCTCTCGAAAACCTACACTATATCATATTATTATACTTTGTATTGGCGTGTATGTTGTGTGTATGTGTGTGTGTGTGTGTGTGTTTGTGTGTGTGTGTGTTTGTACGTGCGCGCTTGATACATATTTTTTTCAAATTTTCGCCGAGAGACCGTTACATTATTGTCCGAGGGTGAGGTGGGGGGGGATCTTACATATGTGACGTTGACAACGACGGTGGTAAGACTGTATATTTATATAATATTGTAATTGAGTAGGTTGGTATTATAATTGTGTGCGCGTGTTTTTTTCTCGTCTCTGTTATATTATTACGCACGTGTGTGTGTGCGTGTGCGTGTGTGTGTGAGTGTTTGTGTGCGTGTTTATGTGTATGTGTGTGTGTTTGTTTGTGCGTGCGCGCGCGCCCGGGAGTGTATTTAAGTGAAGTGCCGTTTCTTGTGCAGAGCCAAATGGTCGGACCTGGAGAAACATCGTTCGCAGTGGCGACACTTGAACGGTTTGGCGCCAGTGTGCTTGCGGTAATGGCGGGTCAGCTCGTCGGACCGGGCAAAGCTCCAGCCGCAGCCGATCCATTCGCATTTGTACGGCTTTTCGCCTGCAACCGAACAAAAACGGAAATAATAATAAGTACATAATATAATACGTGTGTGTGTGTGTGTGTGTGTGTGTGTGTTTAAGTGCGTAAACACAATAATAATAATAATACAAAAGAGAATAATAATAATGCGCGCGCGTATGTAGAAAACCGAAAATCGTTTTTTACTTATTCCGGCTTTTGCGTGCACCGTCATCTCCCCGCTTTACACGACGATAATAATGAAAGACGCGGTACCGTTATTTTATCGTACAGCTACAATACTATATGGTTGATCCGTGCGAAAGAAATCGCGTTCAAAGTTCAACGTTCGGTTCTGATTCTTAAACATAAAGATAGATTATTGTACCGGGAGGGGAAGGATCCAGGAACGGACGGCGGGAGGATGTGGGGGAGATTTTAAAATTTCACCGTTGTGAATTCGAGCACATGCGAGAGCGAACGAGTGCGCCCCAACTTTGATCCTCCTAATTCGTCGGAATAAGAGTGAAATATTATTAATTTCGTCATTATTGATTTTGGTTAGGTAAAAAGGAAGAAAGACTCCCGTTTCAGAAACGATACTTATAGATATTGTAACATTTTACTACAATAAACGAATTTCGCCCGTTTACTCGTTTTTCGTATTTAATTTGTTTTGATCAATTTCAAATACTTTTAATATTGTAACGCTTAATATTGGTTTGTTGAAAATCGCACTAACACAGTGTAATCTCCGTACGCGTTTAACCGACGGATTTTCGATCATTCGAACGTCGGACATCCCGCAACATTTGTAAACGTGACGAAGACATCATCGATCGTATAGTCGGAAAAAAAAAAAAAAGCAGAAGCGGGTTTCGATATTATACACAATGCATATTATGCACTTATAACGTGTAATACGAACTCGGAAGTTTATGAAATATATTCTGATGCATTCGTACCGCAGAAACGCGACGGACATATTATTATTATTTTATTATATTATGCATAATGCACAATGCAGTATGTGCTGTAGTGCTGTTGCTGCTGTACCGTCCGCCGGGTGGGCAAGTGGTGATGGCGGCGTATCGCAATTTGGCCCTAAACTCGCGCAGACGGCGACAAACGACGGGGTCGAGACCAGTATGCATACGCGCGGTAATCCCGGACCGCTGCAAGACGGGGCAATTCGATTTTTTTATTCCTCCCCTTCGGAAATTTAGGTCGTCGTCGGGCAAATATATATTGTAATGTACGCGTATAGTAATGTTTATAATCGACGTATGTACGCGACAACGCGGTAATATAATATTATGTGCGGTGTGATTATTGATTCGTGTTTTTTTTTTTTTTTTTTTATGAAACCTGTCCACAAACATCACTATAACAAATTTCATTATATTATATGATATAATCATAAGAGTACATAATATACGGTCGTAAAAATAGTCGGATGGCAGATTTGTCGTGTCGTACAACGGGTAATATTGTTATGGCCGTATACGCGTATACATTATTTAGGATCGATAAATTTATACGACGAAAACGTTCGTCCGATAAGAGACTTAGAGACTCGGAAAATACTCCGATTATCCCCGCCGAGTACCCAGACGAATGTCCAACGACGGTTTCTAATCGAGAAATTCCACGTGGACAAGTAGAAAAAAAATAATAAATAAAAACATACAGTGTTTTCAACGTTATTACGATATGGCCTCGAAATTGATTTTTGACGACTATGGGAAAAAAAACTTTTTATTCGTATTCAATTAACCGAGAGTACAATACGCGCGTAGTATTACACGTATTATTATTATATACGAGTGAAGTTTTTTTTTTTTTTTTTTAATTTTTTCACCAAAGTTTCGAACACCGCCAAAACACTCTAAATAATATAATGCGCGGTGTATCGCCAAAACTACGGTCCGGGGTCTAGACTAATCCCTCTTATAATATAATATATATAAATTCATTTGAAAATGTCATTGTACTCCTCGTACGTGTATATAATATATACGTATAAATGTATACATATTATTATTATTTATTTTTTTTTTTTTCACAACATAACCACACTCTAATGGAAATGTCTAGTTATTTCGGTCGTGTACATCGCGACAACGTGTAGCAGTAGTACTCGTAGGGTCGCGCGGTCCTGACCGTTATATACAATATACATTATTACACGCATAATACGATATTATATTTGCAATAAAAACCCGAAATCAGTTGAAAACCACAAAATCGCTGATGAAAACTCCCCGAAATGGTGTTCGTCGGAACGCGTCTTTAGGACTTAACCGTATTAGAAATATTAGCTGTTTTTTTTTACGCACAGCCTCGCGCCACAGGCGTAACTAGGATTTTTTTCAAGTTATGGAGACTTTTCTCTCCCAACCCCCCTTAGTCGCATAAATCTATATCTAAACACTTCTAAACACTGATCGTTTGAAACGAAAATCACGCATTTCAAACGATCACAATGATTATTATATTCGTCGGATATTGTAATACCGACAGGCGCAAAGTTTAAACTATGGAGTATAAGCAGTTATGATTCGCGTGTAATTTCCCGTACAATAAGGAGGAAACACAAAATGCATTTTTCTAACGTGATTTTAGTCTACAAGCGGCTCAGAACTGCAATCAAACATTCGTACGCAGATTGAATTTTAGTTTAAATATTTTATTTTCGTGCTGAAATATGTGATTTCCGTGGACGAGACATTCGTCTTTTAAATTCGTAGTTTCGCGAATACGAGTGGGGAGCGGTGTGGAACGTCATTAGTGTGGCGGCTGGGCGGATCGGACACGTCATTAAATAAGGCAATTTCGACCGATCCCGTCGCGGAGAGAAGACCGTCACGACGACTTTCGCGGGAAAGCTGAGAAAATACCAATACGCGCAGTGTTGTATAATATACAGGGTGTCTCACGGATGTCTAACGACGAACGCGACGACTGTTATTCTGTTCGATATTTTCAATGTTTTTTTTTTTTTCATCTTAATAACAATATTACTAAAGTAGTGCGTCACGATTTTCGTCCTGTGTATTATTATAATACACTGGACTTTATGTAATTACATAAAGTATTTCGAAATGAGAACAACTCGAAAATCACGAACAGAGGGGAGGGGAGTGGAGAAACAGTCGTCGCGTTTGTCAGATACGGGCGGCACATCCTGTATAAAACACCGTGTAAGTACGCCGTTTACGGAATGTACGGGTCGCCCGTCGTTTCTAGCCATTTGGAGGACGGCCGGCGTTCCCCGGCGGGCGGCGGCGGTAAAGGAACACTCGCAGTCTCCACGCCGCTGACGATTTACTCCTCCGCGGGGAAATATTCGAACATCAGGAGGCCCTTCCCTCTCTCGGTCGTGCCGTCGAGTGCCGAGTGCAGTTACGTAGTTATATTATACGGTTACACGGAAAAACGAATGAATTGTAATTTAACAGAGTATATATACGCGCGCCAATAACGACCGGGCCGTCATAAGCGATCGAGGGGGGGGAGGATGAAAGGGGGAATAAGGGAGTGTAGGCGATGGCGGCGGGAAATCCATTCCTCGCCCCTCCCCTCCTCGGGCTCATCGATCGGCCCAATCGGCCCGTAAAACCCAACGCTAACGTATTATATGTGTAACGGCGACAAAAACGGACGAAATAATATTATACACGTGCATAACGGTGATAATGTGATAATAACAATAATAATAATAATAACAATAATGATAATGATAATAATAATAATAATAATAATACGTATACAGCCTGTAGCGGCGTCGACGGATTTTAATTGGATCGTTTCGGTTCGTCCCTCTCTCCTACCACTGAAACGCGATAGAGACCGGAAAACGTATAGCACGCTCCCGGTAACCGTCGGATTTCCAAAAAGTGGAAAGGGGGTGTTATGAAAAATGAAAAGAAATCTTTTTTCCCAACTCCCCCCACCCCCCCAATTGAACCGCGGAAACGATTACGGTAAAACGTCCTTGCGACGGAATCGCTCGGCACCAAACTGCAGATTTGACCGTTGTTATAATATAGCAGGGATACTAGTTGGGTGGGTTCGGACACTGCGTTATCAGTGGTAAACATAATAACCGCCTCAGTGTTAATATGATATTTTTCGAGTATTATCGGTTTCGAATCGAACGAAACGCCGAGTGTTCGGAGGGCGGAATAAGTTTCGTGAAAATCGAAACCCGATCCGTCGCTAATTATAAAATACACGGCGTGTCAAACGAAATTCCGTAATGGTAATAATAAATTCGCCTTGCGCATCAATTACAAAAAACCGTCCGCAGGGCTGCACGACGAGACTTAATTCGTTTTAATGCCACTGGCGGCGAAGGTATTATGACCCGTTCGAATGGCATGGTCCGGAGTTTTCGCAGTTTTATAATATTTACACAATAAATAATAATAAAAAAAAAATTAAAACACCGATTTCGCGTTCGAAAGAATAAAAAACGATTTCAATAATATCGCCGATGTCACCCGGAAAAAGGTTTTGTGTTCCCCCCCCCCTGTAACTCAGTTTCGAGAGAAGCGAAAAACCATTTCGTCACAAAATTCGTCTGAACCCCGGAAAGCGCACTAGTTTTATTCCGGAAGCCCGGCGGGATTCTTTTAATTCAACGCGAAAATTTCGTTGTTTATATTTTTTTATCAGCGGTATCACCGAAAAATACGGTTTTTTTTCTACTATATTTTTGAGCGATCCGTTACCACAACCATTTCAGTCGGAAAATCACGTTTGCGTGGTTATCTACGATAATATTGCGAATTAGGCCGTCGTAATGTGTAGTTCGTATTTCTCGTACTGTGATTCGTTTCGCAACCTCCACGCGCCTCCATGTGCCGACTAAACACCCACCTATACTATAATAATCTAAATCGCAATGTTTTTGTCGTACATTTCGAAAACAAACGGTGTTTTTTTTTTTTTATTATTAATAGGTACTCGCGAACAAATTAAATACGAAAAAAAAATTGTTCCTACCTAATATTTTTTTTTTTTCCCCCGTAAGTCTTGAATAATGTATAATAACATTATTATTCAAAATGTTTACACGGGATTTTTATATTAAATTCAGACCTTATACACGTTTGCGCGTTAAAAAGTTTCCCCATTATAACTTTTTAGATTTAAACTGTCCAAATAATTCTAGACAACAGATGCCAACTATTGCGGCGCGCTCGAGCGTCAGCCATCAGCGAAAGCGATGCTTTTAAACAAATTTCGATAATTCCCATCGAGTAATATGGCGAAATAAAACGTCGTCGTTATATTATGTAATTTAATCAGCTTTACGATGAATAATGTGATTATTCATCGAAAAATCATAACCGTTCGAATTTCACAACAAACTTATACCGGCGCCCACCATCGTTTTATAGCACACGGACCGATGACATGGTGGATATGTAACTTTAAATATTAGAAAAATCGCGACATTTTTTTTTTTATTCAAGGTTTGTAAATAAGTTTACTATCGGAAATCGTGCATTAAACTTTATAGAAACTTTCACGTAGATTTTTCGATCTAGTTGGCACATTGATGAGTCGATTTTTTAGTTTATTCGTAGTTTCATCGACAGATGACGTAAAGCTGGCAAACTTTTCTAAAATTTTCGTTGATTTTTGCGTAATCTATAGGCGACAAGGGGAAAAATACGACAAACACTCTGCTCGGAATCGTTTTTCGTTAACAACGGTTGAAATTCATTGTTCGAACGGATTTATACGTTGAATAACACTACATAAATTCTCCCTTTAAACTTCCTTCCCCAATGCACACCATTTAGCGGTATCTGCCGTTTTTTTTAAACATAGGTATTGTTTAATTGACCAAAAAAAAAAAAGAGATATGTTAAAATTTAATTATTCAGCAGATAGACCGAAACGATTTTCGACGATGTCTAAACGAAAATATCGTCCGTATCACAAAACCGTAACACAGTAGTACTGACAACTATATATATACAAGTATCGTATCGCATTATTATTCTATTTACGCGCGCGTTTTACTTTATTAATTTTCTTTTATATTTTTTTTTTCTTTTGTCGTCGCGTTTCCTTGTTATTATTTTATTTTTAAAGCCGTTTCGCTCGAACTTTTGCCGCGCCGTGCGCTAAAAACGGCGGAGCGCAGAGGGCGCGGCCGTCGTCTCTTATTTCCGGACTCCGGAAAAAAAAAAAAATGGAAAAGAAAAACAACACGACAAAATACGACGGTGGAGTCGGTGTGCGACGAGTATTTTTATATTAAGACGTCCGCGACAATATCAGACCCACTTTGCCCGACACTCGGGGCGGTCAGAACGACGAAAATAAACAATTACGGCTGTGGTTTTCGCGCAAAAATTGGTTACAATAATCTCGTCCCCGCAGTTTACTACCCACTATATATACTTATATACAATTACTCCGCGTGCCTTCCCCGTCCTTTCGCCGTCGCCGTGTTATCCTGCCCTCCTGAAGACGACGACGACGACGTGCTCGCGTCGCTACGCCGGGGGCGAGCGGCCGAGGAAATAATGTTTCTCTTCTGCACTGCGGCCCGGTTTTTTTTTTTCTTTCCCCCTCGGAAAAAAAAAACAAAATGCACACGAGTACGAAATGCGGCGGAGTTCGCCCCGACGAAAATACCGTCTCGATAATAAACCCGCTGGATACCGCCGACCGTTATTATTGTCGTCGGACCTACGAATACAACAAGTCCATATACACACGGTAATGTAAGTACTGGCGCCCCAGGCACCCCGACGAGCGGACAGTTCCTCTCTTGTAACGCCACCGTCCCAGCACGGTGTTTTTCGCTAGACCTGTTGACCAGATGATAAATAAAAAATTTCGATAACGATAAATTTATCGGTATTTTTTCTTCGTCAATCACCTACCGTGATTGCCGCAGCGATTACCGGAACTGTGACGAAAACCGAAATTCCGTTTTCATTACTTCCGCGCGTTTCGCTATCATACCAGGACTCGGAAGTTATTGGGTAGTTGCATATTTTTTCTGTATGCACTGAATTTATAGCGGACAAGCTAGAAATTATTTTTATACAACGGAGTGTTTGAAAATCAAACATTTAAAATTCATATTTTGCAAATTTCGTCAAGTTAAGAGAAAAAGTGCATACTTCATAGGTTTTTATTGAATTTGGCGTATTTTTACGCATTTTGTTCATAATAAAAATTCGCTAAAAAAAAAAAAATATTTTTCTCATTATTAACCTGCGAAGTATTTACATTTCAGTGTATTTTGAATAATATTGAATATGAAACTCAATATTATTTAACTTAGTTATTTATTGTTATTACTTATCTTCTTAGTCTATTATTAATTTATCAACAACGGTGTGATTCACATTTAATCTTTACCGTTTTTGTGCATATTAATAACGACATCATTATATGTTTTTGAATGATTGTTTGCATAAATAACGACACTTGTTATTATTATTGATATTTATAGATATCTAAGCTGAGCGAGAAATGTATTAGTGTTACAATGATGTGTATTTTTTTTCTGCGAACGATTTTTTACCAGAAATTCGGCTCCGATTTTCAAGTACAGCGCATTTTGGGAAAGTAAATCCCACCGGGGTGGTCTTTAATGACGTAGTTTTGTGATTTTACCGGAAGTTTTTATAATAAACGGGAAAGGGCGGGAATTAACGTAAACTGAGAAAACTGGGGAAATTTACGAATGATGTATAGTTTTCAGATCATAAATATTACGACGTTTTAAAAACACGATCAGAATCGTTTTTCGTTAGCAAAGAAAAATCGTTTCGTACAAATACAGATAAATATTTAAATGCGATTTAACAGTATTTGTATAATTACGAAACGGCAACGTCGCAGTGCCTTATCAGTTAAGAACTTTCGCAATCGTGAGTATACCTAAACCCTGAAAGTATTTTTTCGCTTACCGCGGATGTTGACTGGTTTGTTAGTCGGGTAAATTTCGTTATATAGGGGGCGCGGTCCACTGATTAATAGGTATACGCCCTATTATACGGCTATTATAATACGTAAGTACGTTATTGTTAGGGCTCGGAAGTAATAAGGGTCGCGTATAATTATTGTTCTGTATATTCTCTCGGTTTACATCAGACCAAACTAGAAATCCGTTCCGCGCAACGGAGAGTTTATAATTCGGACATTCAAAACGTATATTTTATAACACGATGTTTTATTGATGTTCGTTGACTTTCATCGCACATTTAATATTTTCCGAGAGAATTGATTTTTTTCCTTTTTCAACCGATGTATTATAAATGATGTCGAATATAAAATTTAACGAATTTATTGCCCGCATATCGTGCGTATAGGCGTTTGACCCGACAATATCGAAAATACATAGTATTTATTTATTTATTTGTTTTTAACAATTTTTTTCCAGTTAAATATAATGAAAAAACGCCAACCGCGGTGCTAAAACTTGTTGTTTATTTTGTCGTGCAAATTTATTATTTTTTTGCACGTTGATTGAATTCGTTGTGCGTTTTAAATTTTTACGTCGCGCGATTCACCGAATCCACTTCCTTGACTTCCGTGCCCCGGTTATTGTTACCGAATCGTTATTGTGTTCCACGACGTCGAAAACGATAATATTGCACGCGTCTATATGTGTATAAAGAAAAAGACGCGTTAAAATGATATCCGAAAAACCGCTAACAAACAACGAAAACGATATTATTCCGTCGCCGTATTCTTTTGACACGCGATCCGCCGCATAGTCGCTTTTTCTCCTTCTCTCCCTTCACACACTCCTTCTCCTTCCCTTAATTCTCGTCGTGTCCGCCCGTCAGATTCGATTCACCAACACGTCCTCGGGTTCAAAGCGTCGTTAAATATCTTTACCCATATTTCACTCGACGTGCCTCACACGCTCTGCACACGCGCACCGCCTTGTATACACACGTAACATGGCTCCCAAGTGACCGGGTCCTCGCTGTTTCCGCGCGCTACACCTGCAGAGATCCGGGGAAAAAAAAAAAGTTGTAACTCCTTGTTATCCGTCCTTTTTGGCGACCGAACGACTCCGACCCCACGAAATCCCCCTGAGAATTATGCCCGGTGTGCCGCGGACGTTGTCGGTAATTCGAGTCAAATATTCGTCTGAAAATCAATACACAGTATACACAGTATACAGGTGTATTGTGTATACGCGGGCGCGGGAAAAAAAAAACACTTCGAATCGCTGCCGCGTACCGGAAAATTAAACGTATACACTTAGAACATTCTAATACCATGCGTATCGTCGTAGGCACCTAAGATATATATATTTCGTAAATTTTCCTGTTTTTTCCTGATTTTTCCCGTTTTGTTGAGAGAACTTCCAAGTACCTCCCCAGTCAGATTTATTTTCGAAAAAAGTGCTATTATTGTTAATCGGAGCAAAATTTCTGGTAGAATGATCGTTCACAGAAATAAAAAAATAAACATCATTGTAAAACCATAAGCTTCTTCGCTCCACTCAGAATATAAAAACCAAAAACGAAAACCTCGGACAGTCGATATCACACACGCATTCGTATTTAAACGAAACGAACAGTACCAACAGAGGGTGTAAAATATCATACGGTCGATCGAAAATTAATATCATCAATACACTATATAGAGTGATTATCTATGGACAACGTTTTTTATTTCTTCGAAGATCTCACTCGAACAGCTTTATTCTGACTTTGGTAATATATCGTTATATTATAGTGTTCAATTAATTTATTATTTTTAATAATCGGCGTTTTTTTGTTTCGTGAGGTTTCGATTCGACTTAAACCGTCTCAAATATCCGATTAATCGGTGCCGTCTCGGACAAATTAAAAGACTCCGTAGACGCCGTTTTGGCCGGTTAAAAATCACGCGAGGGCCACGTGCCTATATACTGATATAATACGAGTTTCTAGGGTTTTACCGTTCACGGCTTCACGAACTCGAGACCCCCCGAACATTGCGAGGAAGAAGATACGCTATAGTATTGGTGGGTGGAGGAGGGGGGGTGGGGGTCGGAATCGTCAGAATCGACTCCGGTTTCGTAAGCTGTATAAATTATTTTTCTACATTTTAACGGCCGCCTTTACGACGGAAACGCGTACTCGTTGCATTTGTGGTATTTGAGTATACTTATAACCACGACTTAAAGGTAAGGTATACTCCATAGAATATTACGCGTAGGATAACGTCTGGCGAAGGCAAAAAATCGGTACCAAGAGAAAAAATAGACGGTTAAATAATTCTCTCGCGTAATACCTAAATATACATAATACATTCGCGTACGAGAGACCCTCGGCGTATATTATACGGTGTAAATTATCGAGTCAAAGCGAGACGAGAGTAACAAAAAATAAAAAAAAAAATACAACACCTCCGAGGAGTATCTTTTTTCGCCTTTCTCGGTCTATTATGTACAGCTAGTATACTATACACAGTGCGTGTGGTTTTCGGACGGTATTTGGAATGCAAGAAAGCGCACGTCCTCTCTAAGGTCGGCGGCGGCGGTCTGAGAAGAAAAACGTGATCTGTTTTTGAACATTACGGCGCCGATGGCGGCCCGACTTAAGGCGCTGCACCCTCGACGACGACGACGGTGCGGAGAGTTTGGCAATTTGTCATCGGGGCGCTAAATCCACACACGCGCGGCGCGTCTCCCTCGGCCCCCCCTCAACCCCGCAATCCCGTTCCGCGACCGCCGAAAGTCCCGGGGACTTTGCGACCCCTCATCGTCGTACAATTATAATAATAATAACGATAATACATATAATACGCGTGTGCGGGAGGCGGAGAGGTGGAGGAGGGGGTCCGGGGAAAGCGGGCGGTCGAAGGGGGCCAAGTTTCGCCGAACAATATGATAATATTATTATAACGACGAGACTCGATACGGTCGAATATATTATTTATTTACGCGATAATAACACGGCGCGTTAAAATAATATTATTACCTACCTATCTACCTAATAATATGTTTGTTCGACAAAAATCGAAACACCCGGTTATGTTTAACGCTCGGCCGTTTATTCTTCCCCCCCCCCCCCGTCTCCGAAATCCTATTAATATTTAATCTCCGTAAACGCGCGAAAACCCCGCGTGCTGCCGCGGCGTTATTAACATAAATTATTTTTGGACGATTTAAAGCCCGCGGTGTTCGAAATCGCGAGCCCTTTTTTCTCTTTTCAAACCGCAACGTCGGCCGTGTTATTGGGGCGACGCAGTCGTTTCGAACGTTTTTTTTACACCGCCCCGTCGGCAAAACCGCCCGGAATCGAACGGAATACCGAAGGTATACGAACGTGATAAATTTTAACCAAACCGTCGTATCTCGCTTGAAAATTATGACGTCGAAAATAAAACCCGCTTACAAAAATTGAAAATGTTCTCGCTCCTATAGGTTCGATAACAGGCAAATACGCCTCAATGTTGAAATAATAACGGCGCAAAACGAACGAAAAGTATATAAATACAACGTCGTTTCGCGAACCAGGCGATTACCGTCGTAATCTTTTTGGAGAACGTTCTCGAGAATATTTTCGTGAATATTTCCCGAATAGGGGAATAATAATTCTCTTTTCCGTCAGTTTCATATAGATTTAACATACGGCATAATCGCACGGAGCGGAGCAAATTGAATCTTCGTCATTTACGAAGCGCCCAAAATAATATTTCGATGATAATATTAAATAAAATACGCGATTACCACGTCAAGGGTCTTTATAACGAATTCAATCGTGTGCTATTTGTCAAAAAAATCACTGTGCCGCTTTTACGTTAACGAACAATAATCTATTCAAATCAATATGCTATATTTTTAACACTGCCCGAGCGCAAATTACCGTTAATGTGCCGAAAGTTCAAAAAAACCGCCACTCAGACTTCCATTTTTGTACGTCGGTCCGACCGTTTACAACGCGCAGTCTCCCCAAGGAATATCACGTATACTAGAGTTTATAACGGGTTCGGAAAAAATTCGACCACTCGGCCAACACAACAGGCGGCAGAGTAAACGCATTCTACACCTAGTAGTACCGCCTAATGCCATTTAATCAATTAAATCAATTAATTATACACTTTACTTTCAGTATTTGTGTGTTTATGTGTTATTATTGAAGATGTTGTTTTTTTTTTTTTTTTATTGTAAAGGAACGATTATTATCATGGGCCCTCGCAAGAGCTCACTGGGGCCCGTTATCTCGTGTTTCACAAGCATTTTATAGGCTCTTAGCAGCTTCGACGAAACATCTCCAGTCTTCCCGATCTTCCGAGTGTTCCAAACTCTCGGATTCATCAATCGCTCTAATATCGTTCATTAACCCGTCCATTTCCGGATTTCTCAACACCACATTCATTATGATTTACTCGTCTGCTCGCCACACGTTCGAAGCTCATTCAAACCGTTCGGCGTACAACACATTGCTGATCCTCGGGTGTGTCGTATAACTTTTCTAACTCTGCGCTTTTCCTTCTTTCGTACTATCCCGTGCTCGGGTTCCTTGTTGGTCCATCGATATTTCTTAATACCTATATTACTACTGTTTTACTACCTATTTTACTACTGTTTAATGTTTACCGTGGCTCACGAGCGTACACGGCAATGCTTTTATTCATTGCAAAATATGTCCGGTCGGCCACGTCAATTCTCCGTGGTACTTCGCTGTGCATATTACCTTTACGGTTGACGTTCACTCCTATAGGTACCTCGTACGTGAAGTCTTCTGCCCGCTCGCACGCAGAGTGCTCGACTTTTAGATTTGCAATGCACTCGGGATTTCGCGACACGTTCATACTAGGTAATGTGAATTTTCGTTTTAGCTTCGATTAGTCCGATTTCTCGGCCGGCCCGAATAGGGTTTTCTTCCGTGGTTCGCATCGCCTCCCACAAGGGATATCACCGGCCATGTAGTATGACCGATTCGTTTGTCATTATCAAAACCTATCAACGAAATAATACCGCGTCGACCGCCGAGCAAAATACGAGTTACGAATTACGCGTTTGCGGTATACGCGGCGACCGAGTAGCGAACGAACGCGGCGGAACCGTACCGCCCGAAACCGAAAACATTTCTCCCGCGATCCCCGACGCCGTCGCGCTTATCTCTGGGCCCGGCCGACGACGCCGCCGCGCGCCGACCGAAACCGCTGTTCGCCGGAATACGAGATTCGCGTGTAAAAATCGCATTCGCCGCGTATGTTTTCATACGCGATGCCGCGTCGTTTAATATTTCCGTCGCGTCGGCGGTAGAAACGGCGCGCACAGTCGGGCCATCAATCACGCGGCAACCCCCGGGATTTTTTCGCCCTTCTCCTCTTCGCCGCCGCCGCCGCCGCCACCGCGGCAGTAGTCCGCCGCCGCGCCGGTCGGTCGGCGGGCCCATTAATTACCATTTTCCGAACGCGGCCGAGAGGGAGGGCCGCGCGCGAAAAAGGGATTGATAATTACCGGCGGCGCGGCGGTCAAGGCCCCGCGCGCGCGCAAACGTGACAAAAAGGAAAAACGCCGCGACCGCGAAAACGCGGCCGGAGTGCCGTGCGGTTTTGACGAGCGTTTGCGGGACGACGAACGGGAACCGCGGACGGGGGTGGGCGTCGACGGTTCGACGAGAATAATAATATAAAAGACGGGCGTGTATACACCGGTACGCTCGGGTCCGTTCGGCGCGGGGGCGGGTGTTCCGCGTTTTAATTTCGCGTCTACGCGTGGGCCGTCCGTGGCCAAAGGGCCGTCGCCGGGGTACGGAGAAATCGGAAGCGGAACGAAGGACCGTCGCCGCTAATTAAAAGCACGCCGCCGTCACCTGCTGCCCGTCCCGTTCGAATAACGAATCTTCGAATCACGAAAAAACAGTTATATTACGCTTCGCCAATGTGACCAGTGATACCGTACGGACGTGAAACGCGGCCGCTGGGAAACGTACTGGTTTTGAAAGGAGAGTTTTGCGGATAACTTACGGTCCGGTCAACGACCGGGTTAACGGGAGTGCGGAGAAGAAGGAAAAATGCGGAGCTGGACACGTTGTTTAGTGATTTGGACACGTTAGTAGTCACCAGGAGGGAAAGACTGCGGCGGGCCGGACACGCTTGCGGAAACCGAAATACCGCTGATACGCGCGGTTACGAATCTAGCGGGGAAAAAAACGCCGGGAAGACCGCGAATACGGCGGGAAGAGGTTCTGACCGGAGGAGTCGAGCGTTAGACTGCAAAGGGGGAGGTCGGAAGCTCGGCTGCGAGACGGGACGGTCCTACGAGTCCCCGACAAACCCGCGAGAGTAGACGGATAAGAGAAGAATAATATTCTTACACTCCGTTCCGAATCCGCGCATTGTTTTCGCGACGAAACACGACGTAGCACGGTGTACGTTACACGACGCACGTAGGTAAGTACGTATTATTATAAATTACCGCGTGTGCTTAACGGTGCCGCCGAAGACGAGCACTCGACGAGAACTCGAAACGGCGTTCACATAATATTATGAGTGCGCAACCGCCGCCGTCGCGTTGATATTGTTGTTGTTGTTCGTTAAATTCACTCTGTCCCGCCCTGCCGCACGCTTTTCTTCCGCCCTGCCGTCCCGCCGTCCCCCCTCCTCCTTCCCCCCCGCAAGAAAACCGCGATTCTCGCGTGCACGCGAGATACGCGATATTACCGCGAGTTACTATTGTGTGTTATTATATATAATGTGTATATATATATATATATATATGTAATGTATATATATATATGCGCTTTTCAACGACAACGCCGACGCCGCCGCCGAACAATGCGCTTTTCTCGAGAAGAAAACGGCGGTGGGCGACGGCGGGGAGGGGGCGAGGGAGGGTGAATCGAGAAAAGCGAACGAAAGGAAAAAAAAGAAAGAAAAACGAATAATAATACGATGTACGCGACGATCGTTCCGCGGCGCCTTTGTGCGCGCGTCCCGTTACCCCCGGGGAAACTCGACGCAGCGCCGGGCGTTTTCGGCGACGCGTCCGCCGTCCTCGCCGTCCCCGTCGTACACTCACGCAAGAACCCCGCAATCCCCGGACGCGCGTTTTCTCGGAAACCGCGAGCCGAGCGTCACTACCCGCGATCCGCGCGAAAAATAATGTTGAAATAGTTCTGATAAATGTGCACGTATTCAATTGTAAATGAATAATGCCCAGTGTTGTTTGTCGTATCGTGTAAAAGGGATTGCGGGTACGTAATCCCCGTGGGTTTTTGACGCGTCCGTAATTTGTAGCGCCCCCGAAGTCCAGTGGTCTAGTCGCGCCCGTGCCACGACTCCGTCAATGTCGCGGTCGAATTTCCGCACGACTAAGCGTATACAACGGCAATTACACTTGAGAAAAAAAAAAATCACGCTAATTTTTAGCCTGTCGCGGGGATCGGAATTCGAAATCCCCAACTATCGGTACGCATATCCCCGACACCGACGCGATAATAGAAAATCGAAATCGCGCGGTCCGCCCGGATTCACCGGCGGTGCCTGTAGCGACGTCCGATGCTCAAAATTAACCGTCCCGCGCCTAAGTAACGCAACGGTCACTCTCCGATCCGCGTACGAAACGGCCGAAAATGCCGAGTCCGAGGTCATTCGGCCCCGGAGTGGACCGCCCCGAGCACCTGTACAAGTACGGCGGGGGGACAACGGTATACGCGTCTGACGCGCGGGGAAATCAAAACTCGAACGGCGCTGCCGTGTCGTACGGTATTGGCGGGACGCTCTGTATGCCGTGTTAACAACACTAAACGACGGCGGCGGCGGCCGTGAACGGGACCGACGGAAAATCAGTATTCGAGCGGCGTTTGTAATTATATTCGTGTCCGATCGGAACGCCGGAATTCGTTCGCGACAACACCGCGGCGGCGACGAGGGGAGGCAGAGAGATGATGTGCCGGGGCGGGTCGAAACGTTCGACGCGTACGCGCGTGAAACGCCGGGGCCGCAGGAATACGCCGTCGCAAAGTCGACGGCGGGCGAGTAAGGGGCGAGTACGGGTCGAGTGCGGGCGCCGACACCGGGGCCGTTCCGTTCGCGTTTTGTTCGCCGGATCCCGAATTTCCGGTTTCGGTTTTCGAAACCCGGACCGAACGGTCCCGTTCCCCCCCCCCCCCCCCCCCCCCNCCCCCCCCCGCGCCACGTCGTTTGAATATTACACATCCGCCGGCGGGCGGCGGAACGACCGATCCTAATTACGGCGTGATTTATGACGGGCAGCCGCGGTCAGCGCGCGCGTTGACGCGACGCCCGCGACGGAACGATGCGCGTGCGCGCCGGCACGCGGAAGATGAGTGACGCGCGAGTTTCGCCGGGCTCGATTTCCCGCCGGCCACCGTCCCGGCCGTCGCGTGTCGGAGCGCGGACGAGCTTAAGCCGGAGGACACGACCGCGGGACTTTCGGGAAACAACAATGACAGCGCGTCGCGGGTGCGCGCGCGGAGGGGGTGGGGGAATGAAAAATGACAGTTGACCGGCGTGGTTCTTCTGTCGTCAATCAAAATGTCACTGGGCCTCACGCTGTACCGCGCGTCGCGTTCACCGACCACTCGCGCCGCTATGTCCGGTAGCCGGGCGGCCGGGTCGCGGCGGCGACGGCCAGCGGTCCGCCCGTCTCCGCCGCCGCAGCGTCCGTTTTACGGCCCGGCCGTACCGCTGTCCTTTAATTAGACCCCGCGCGCCCGCGTCGCGGTGGGGGGGGAGAAGTTTTTGAAACGGGATTACGTTGCCCGTCGTCCCGCCGCCGCCGTCGCTCCGTATCTAAAACCTTTTCGGACAGTTCATAACCGCAACCGCCGCCGCCCCAAACAACTGCCTCCCCCCTCTCCACCAATCGCCGCCGTCGCCTTTGAACAACCCGGGACCCGGCGCGCGGCGCGTACGCCGCCGTCGCGGTGTCGGTGGCTTTTTGCATTAGTTTCCGGGGGGAAATAAAAAGAAATAATAACAAGCGCTGGAAAGCAGAAAAAACACGAAACGGAATAACAAAATAAAAAAAATTCAACGTATTTACAACGCCCGCGTGCCCGATCCCCGGGCCGCAGTAAATAACGGCCGTGCAAACGCGCGGCGGTTCTTTAGAAACTCATCGCTTAGGATTTTTGCTCGCCGTATTGCAGTCGTATAATAATTACGCTCGGGAGACCACTCGAGTTTTAAAACAACCAAATTATATTATTACGTATATAATACGCGCGGCGTTTTTTTTTTTTTTTTTTGTTTTCTGCGGACCGAGTAATAATTATCACATCGTTTTTTCGAAAACGCGTGCCCGTACGGTCAAACGCGTTGCCGTACGACCGAGACGGAAAACGGTCCGTCCCCGTGGTTTTCGCTGCGCGCGCCCGACGTCGGCGACGCCGTCCCGTTTCCGTCGTGTTTATACACGTTAAATACATCCATATCGATAAATATGTATACATATGAGATATATTAGAGTAATTTCTTTAATATTTTATCCATGCTCAACTTTTCTACCGGAAAACATGTTCCGATCTACATTGATAGCGCTTTTTCCGAAAGTTAATCGAACCGCAGAGGTACTAGAAAAAAAATAAAAAAATAAACCAATACATTTCTCGCTCCACTCGGAATCCAAAATTGGGAAGGTATATACGATACAGAGCGGAATTCAAAGTACATCTGTGCGCGACGGTTAATCTTTGCTTAACGGAATACGGTTCTCTCCAGTGAAAACGAGAAAACGAGGATTTTCTCCTAGTGTGTTAACCGAGATCCCGAGGGACACGATTACGCGTTATCGCCTCGAAATTCGTAAAAAATCGAGTTACGTGACAGAACGATTTATTTTTCATAAATCGTTTGGGTTCGCGATTGTAATGCATTTTAAAACGAGCGACGTGCAAAACGTATGATTATATTAAAGACAAGTGTCGCGGGGTGCTGGAGCTGTGGGAGAGGTGTGGGGGTCGGCTTCTGACCGAGCGGCGGAATTAATTTCTTCGTTATTTACGAGTGCGGCCAATTATCCCGAAAGTATCGTACGGTTATTGCAAAGTGAAAATTCACCGTGCTGACGAGTTAGAACCGTGTAAAACCGCCAATTAATCCTGGGTTCACACGGAAGAAGGTGCCGAGACAATTCCGCATAAATGTTTAGTTAAAATATGTCGGACGTGCTTAATATGTTTACGCAATTCAGATCGAAAAAGAAAGTGATAAGACAAAAAGAGATAAGACGAGATTGTAAAACACAACGGGGTCCAAAAGAAATAATTTCGATTCGGTATCATGTAAAATCTAACTCGCCTTCCAATACGCATCTCCGTTATCGTAGTGCAACGGGCACTATTACGGTATACATACAAGGTAAGCTGGTTCACTGCGTATTGGCGGCAGGGGTTTGGGGTAGAATACCGTCAAAATACTACTTCGGTCCACTCTGACGGTGGAAAACCGCGTTAACGTTACCGCGCGCGCGACAACCGCAAAACACGATTTATGGTTAAATTCGAAAATTTTAAAGGGGCGACCGACGAAAGAAGTGGTGTATTGTCCTCGATCCGACCTCAAACGAGCAAACCGCAATTAGCTGCGATCGCACAAGTTAAATGTCCGGGGTGTTATTTGAAAATATATTTCACGTTGCCGCCGAAGCAATGTTACGAGGACGTCTTTTTATTTTTTCATATCAGTCCGATTTTAAATATCGCGTCGTCCGTCGTCACCGTTTAACGGAAACAAACCGTCCGTGATGAAATCGCGTCTCGCCACTGCACTGTTGCCCGCCGTGTTTAAAAATCTGCGTTTTATGATTTATGTTGCATACGGCCACGGTGAGCTACAGTTTCCTCTTTTCGGTATGTTTGTGATTGTATAATTTTGTAATAAGCGTGACGAGTTCGTTTTTTTTATCGTACTTTTCGTTAACACCGATTGCATTTTAGTTGAAATTACCACCGGGCTGCCGCAGCAGCCAACATAAATTTTCGTTGGGTGTACATTCCGATTTAATATGGATTAAATCCCATTCTGGGATTATAAACTGCAGATGTTCATCGGTGACGCGCGGTTTTAACCGCGATTTGAGATAGCGTATGTCTGCGGCCACGACGACGCACGGCGAAAATACATTACGGTCTAGCCACCGCGATGGATAATGAATAATAAAAGCGGGTCGAACAATGGATTACCGTAGAGCATGGATACTTAACAGAAGTTGGCGAGCAGGGGGTTTTTTTCCCGGTTTTATTACGGGCCGGTCGAAACTTTTGCGCGACCGGAAAAAGTTCGTAAAGGCCGTGCATTTCGGTTTTTCGATTTTCAATCCCCGATCTCTTCGGACGAGCAGCACGTAGAGACGCGTACTCTTTATCGCGTCGTGACGTCCGGCATCCGGCCGTCGAAACGCCTCTAATTGGTTATCGAATAATAACGATTTTCGTTTTTTTTTTTTTTTGACGTCCCGGACCGTTGCGAAGACGGTCGAATACACACCCGGTGGCTGCAGCCCGGTCAGGTTACGATTATCCGATAATATCGGACCGTTCTATACGCGAACTGCGGCGGGTCGGTGTGACGTTGCGGGGGCGAAAACGACGAGAACACAAACCGTTACACCCTAATTTGCCGGCTCTGTAGTATGTATATAGCAGTGGCGTGTACAGCGGACAAACGGTAGTTTAGATAAGGAGCTTAAAACAATTTAGGCTTGTTGAAAACGCAAACAATGACGCGCGCCCCGAAGCCAAAAATCGAACATAATGTCTTCGGGACCGTTAATAATAACAATAGTAATAATATAATGGTCGGTACGAAAACGCGGTACACTTGACCGTATTAGTTTGGCTTGTCTACCGGATGAGAACGATAGTAATTGCAATAATATTATAATATCAAATCGTTCGATGGTAATAATCCGACCCGTCCGCGGGATATTTTAGTTCACTCAAACGGCGACCGTCCGAACGCGATAACGCGACGGCGGCGGTAATAATAACATTACGACCGGGACCGGGATGTTATTGATTCCGAACCCATTGTATACAACAATAGTGCCGTAGATTCATACGTCCCGCAGATGTCCGGAACATTCGCCCCGGGGACCGGGAGTCGCGGTCGGTCCGAACGGACCGAGAGAGATGGGCTACGACAAAAATAAAAAAAAACCCCTATAGCCTGAGACTCGCGAGAGAAAGAGAAACCGAATTCGCGCTCCGACGACGACCAAACGAGACGCTCCGTTTATCATCTTGAGTGTTTCAGTTCTAGAAATGAAACGCTATACACCCCGGAACGCGTTTCGGTGCCGAATGTTCCGTCTAGACGTACAAATCTATGCAGAGTAATGTGCAATGCATTATCGTATTGTCGTGTACGCTAACTCGACGTTTTATCGTTTTTAACGTTTTCTAGGGGCCGGGAGAGTAGGATTTCAATAACAAATGTTTTTAAACTCGGCATGTCGGGCAATGCTATGAGAAAAAATTTCGGAACGGAAACGGATCACGTGTTTGTACGTTTTTGAAACGTTTCCCTCCAAAATTTTCATTATCGATAGGTTATCCAGGTCCCATGGATTGTCTTTCGTCTGGGACTCCGAAAATTCGATACACTCGTGGACCACGGACCACAGACGACGCGGCGTAACAAAACACAACGTCGCGATTGCGGTTTATCGGCGATAACGTTTCCGTTTCCGGACGAGGCGGACGCGGATCACGGGGTCGGGGAACGGAAAGTATTCGGGCCGTCGTCGTCGCCGTTAAAACGACCAGGCCGTCCAATCATAAAACGCTGTAGAATGCGCATATTCCTATCGATTTTCGCGTTTCGATGTTATTCCGAACGGGATCGAATCGCGCGGATTTTTCGATACCAAAGTGTCGGTTGAAATATTCGAATTCTTCCCGGGGCTATACGCTTTGACGTTTCAATGTCCCGTAGCTAAGTACCGTGTTTGACAATGAATTACTGAAAAAGGCTCTGCTGTAAAATTTGCGAACTGAGACATAGCCCGTGTTTTATACGAATAGACGGCCGAATTATCACGTGCATTGTCACTGACGATAATGATAATTTCCGGTCGGTACCGCGCGGCGCAGCGTGTGTACACTCGCGTATTACGTTTTACGCGACGTCGGCGCGGCGGTCTTGGGAGTCGTCCAAAAAAACAATAGGGGGCGACGGTGGCGGCGGAAGTTCGCGGGGGAATCGCGGCTTAACCCGTTTGCGGAAAAGTTTTCGCGCGATTGTTCCGGAACACCCCCCCCCCCCCCNCCCCCCCCACCGTCCCTCCCTCTATCGACAGTGCGGGGCGCGGGGCGAGATGTTGCGACGCGAAACGATTAAATTCGCAATAGAAACGCGTATCCGGTTTTCCGCGCCGAGAGGGACAGCGAGAGAGAGAGAGAGAGAGAGAGAGATAGAGAGTGAGTGAGAGAGAGTGCGAAATGAGCGGGGGGGGGTAGAGATACACACACACACACACACACACACACAAAGTGAGACGGCCAGTGAGAGCACGGAAACAACAAAAGCCGTCTGTCGATGGAAGTTTTTGCGATCGGCGCACCGAGAGACGGTGCAGGTTAGGTTGGCTTATTATTACTATTGTACACGATTTCACGGTTGCCCGGGCTCTTGCGACGGGCGCTCGTCGATATATAAATAAACCGCGGTATGTACACGGTATACGCGGTACATACCTATACACAATATCGTACGCGTCGCCCGAACGGGTGATTAATTAATTTCGCTAATGCGCGTCGTTCCTGCAAAACAGCCAACGCAATAGTAATAATTAAGGCGGAGAAGACGGATGTAATAATACGCATTATAAAATACCGAAATTATTACGCCCCCGCGGAAATATTCGTTCGATTAATATTGAAAAAAAAAAACAAAAAAAAATGTCAAACAACAACGTATATTTCATATATGTATTATTTATGATTAGTGTTGTTGTAAATTTGAAATATTTCAAAGTTGAAACTGTCGTGCCTTGTGAAATCTTGAAATTTTCACGGTTGAGAGAGTTATTGTCAAATACTCAAATGTCATCCAATCAGTTTATGTTTTATGATATCGTTTCGGTACAGTGGTTGTGGTCTTCGGTATAACGTTGTACGTATAGGTAACGAAAAACCGGCGTGCTGATAACAGTCGTTAGCTGAGTTCCGTAATCATGGCAGCTTATCGTTTTATCGGTTATAAATTATTTAATTATTACTATAAGAAATAGGTACTGTAATCAATAAAATACAAAGGATTTTGTTTTTCACTCAAACGAAATATATTATAGAATTTTTCATGAAATATTGCAAAAATATCAATTTTATGAAACTTTAAAACCAAAATTATTATCTAAGCTTTCTAAGCTTTTAGTTTTACTATGATGCGTGCGTGCTCGTGTGTGTTTTTTTCTTCTCGAAAAACACATTTTCGGTTGGTAAAAATGCTTTGGTTTTTTTCTAGAGTATTTCAAAAGACGCGAAATTTCTGCCCGGTTGAACTTTATTCGAACCATTTATCAAAGTTTTCAACAGTTCATCTCGATTTTTTTTTCTTTCTTTTTTTCGAAAAATTTATTTCGGTTAGTAAAAAGACTCCGGAAATTATTCGCATCGCACCGTAAAAAATAAATATATAAATATAATAACCGATACTACAAATATTACTACTCCGCTCAGAATCGTTTGTTTCCTTTTTCAAAAACGTATCGTTACATACATTACCCTGCATATCTAACCTAACCGACTACCCGCCACCATAGACGCCTACCCGGGAACAGTACATCGACTTTTTACTAAAAAACGAACTCTAGAGTTTTATCTTTTTTTTATTATTATTTAATTAATTATCAGTAATCCCATTCTTTATTTTTACACAGAGTATGTTAAATCAATAGGCTGAATAAGCTGCGGCTTATGATATCAATCAGCTAATATTAAAGAAGAGTGGGTAGCTCATTTTTTTTCGATCGATTTATTTCCATAAACTTGTAGCAGTAACTTGTAAATCAGTGACCATGAGCGTGGCCATAACTATTTTCAGGGCACACAAAAGGTGAGTTTTGGTGAAAAAAAAACTTCTAACGTCCGTGATTTTTTATCCGGGCCACTGATTTATAGGGAAGGTTTGTTTACGGAAATTCAATAATGAGCATGGAAAAAAAATCAACCCCAGTCTACCGGTGGCAAACTCATTAATTGGATCTTGTTTTTATACACTTGTGATTTTTCTTTTGATGTGACTTGGTTTATGCGTTTTATAGAAATTTGTCGAACATTCGATAAATCCACAGGTATTAATATAAAACATAAAAAAAGATTGTTTGAATTTGTTCGCAGAGTTTTCGACTCACCTTGTTTCATTGTATTCCGGTTTTGTCCGAATTGCTTTCACAAAATAAATTTACGATAATACACATTCTCGCGAATTTTATGTTCGATTTCATCATGACTCGGATAATTCCCCCCCCCCCCACAAAATGGTCCGAGCGAAAACGTTTTTGTTATTTTAGACATTTTTTAACGTTAAATTGTTCTTTTTTTTCAGGCATTATATGTTCGGGGTGAAATCTGAAATAGCGCATTTTGATTGTGATGGTAAATTTTGGCACAGAATCAACGACGACGGATTCGTCCCCTCGACGATCATCTCGCGAAAACCGTTCGGTAATAATTAATATAGCATTATATCGTAGTATATAAATTAGTATAATGCATCGGCGAGACGGTATAATCTGTACGTTATATTATATACGTAACTGGTATCTATTTATTATTAAATTGAGAGGGGGAGAGGCTTACGTCGAATCTAGGGAGTTTCGGGGACGGACGGAGGACTGTTAACGGTTTCGCCTTTCAGCGGTTTTGTACTCAAAGACACGCCGACCCACGCGCACACATTGGTGATTTGACATAAATCCGGATTAACCACGAAAATCCGTATATTTCGAACTTAGTACTCTGATGGTTTTGATTTCGGATTTCAAAATTCGAGATTTCTCCTCCCTTAAGTATGCGTTTTTTTTTCAATTTTATACTAAAAAACAAACGTATAAATACGAACGGCAATTATCGATTTAAATTGAAAATTGTCTGAAAAAAAAAAAAAAAAATTAGTAAATATTTAGTTCGACATCGCGGAGAAATCTTCGAAATCCCGGACCCAGTCAGACTTTGTGTGGATCCGGATTTTCTGTCGAGACGCAGTCATCGAATGTCACTAAAGTATCACGTGTAGACTTGTAAGTTCGACCGCCAGGGTTTCAGAACACCTGACCTATAGAATGTATTGTTTGCACGTACGACGTTTTGTCCGGCGTCGTATTCACCCGAACCCGTCTGTCCCATCGACCGTTTTGTAAGACTGACCTATGAAAGGATAGAATCTGACCCATACGAAACGGTTGTAGCCGAGGTCCGACAATTGCGGAGAAAACGACCGGTCAACCTAACCTAACCTAACCTACTCTAACGGCCGTAGGTTTGCGTCAGACGTAATGTACAGAAACGGATCGATTTTGGGAGGCAATAGGTACGTCCGCCACGGCCAGTGGCGGTGTGAACAATTTCGATTCGTGAGAAAGTACAATTTTTTTCAACCCCCGAAATGGACTATTAGATCGTCCATCGCGTTTCCGTGAAGCGAGCCAACGAGTATTCCGTACGAGAGGTTATCGGCACACGTCGGAAAAGTTTCGATGTCTGATGTCAGCAATCATAGCGGCTAGGTCGGTCAGGCGTTGGGTTAGGACAGGTAGTGTTCCCGGTTCGGGACCCGTCACCGTCGACGTCGAACGAACCGATTTTTCGCGGTTTTTTTTTTCGTTATTATCACATGTTTCATTATTGACAATATTACTAGATACCATACGGCTATAACTACCAAAGCGACTCAAACTAATCCGTACGGTTATCCGTTTTGTGTGGCTGTCACTATATTATAAATAATTGCGGCGTAGAGTAACCCTATAAATAGTTCATAATTTTTTTCCGCGCATAAATACGAAAATTTTCGCGTTCGAAACTGTGCAATTTTCGCATTCGGGTTTTACATACGTCATGCCGCCAGCGCCTCCGAAAGATATTTAAGCTCGCAAAACTCTAATAAAATGTACACACACACGCACATTGAAATGTTTCACCGACTGTTTAGTTAAAAAATACAATTTTTACTTAAAATTCGAATTGAATTACAACATAAAACGTATAAATTTCGCAAGTACAGTGGCAGCGTGAACTTTTTTATTTTATGAGACAAACATTGATGTTAGAGATTGACTTCCACCGTCTAGGTGTTATTTGACAGAGTGGCGGGGATAAAGCCCCCACACTCCACCCCGCCCTTTAGCCTAATTTACCATTCTAAAACTGTACGATTTAATTCACGGTGATATTATATTTTACGAATATTAAAATTTAATAAATTCGGGCACTGTATTCATGTACTTTAATAATAAATTTTGCCTATTTTTATTTCGCTATCCGTCAATAAAATAGAACACTAGACTATGATGACCGAAATACCGAGCCACGCAAAGTACGCGACATTTAATGGACAGAGTTTAGAATTCTGTAGGATTTTTTTTTTTTTTGTAAATCAATTTATACAATTAACAAATAATTTATTTTATTTTATCTTCTCTACGAAAAACGCGGTTTATTTAAATATCCGCTGGTTACCGTTGACACCGGACATTTAATAAACGAAAGTCAAACACCGTGTGCACGCCAATGATGTCGAGTGCGCGAAAAAGGAGTGTCCGCGCACGCGCGAATGACGAACGTGTACTCGCGTATATTTAATGCGCGTGAATTTACCGCCCGCGACAGCGCGTGATTCACGTGAATACGCGCGGTGAAAATACGTGGAAAAAAAAAGAACGCGAACCACGCGAAACGCGAAGCTCTGCACAATGCCCGAAGCCGTACATTACTGCGATGTGTGCATATTACAAAGGAGAAAAGTTAAAATTAATTTTTTTTTTCCGGCGTTTCCGAGAAAAACCGTATAAACCGCGTTGAATTACAGCGAGCGGTACGCGCGCATAATGCGCATAAAACGACACGCCGCGCGAGTAGGATAAAACGCGATGTGGCGGCGATGGTCGTCGCGGCGGGGTGGTGACGGACGGGGAGGCGGGGGGGGAGGTTGGTGCGGAGGGGCGGACGTCGGAATCCCAAGCGCAGACGGAACGGAATGGATTCCATTGTGTGCGGAACCGTCGCGCCACTTTTACGATTGAAAAGATATTGGTCCGTAAAACGCGTGCACTATATTTCCGCCGCCGCTACACGTGTACACACACACAAAAATTCGGTAAATTAAACTGAAGTGCGTCCGTAAACATTTTAACAATGGGAATGACTCGCGCGAAATAAACGTCCGGGCAGAGTTTCGGCCCGGGGACGACCCCGGGGTCCGGTCGGGCAAACAATGAAACGGCCGGCGTGTGCACGGCGAAATGTGTTTTCGCCGTCGCCGCCGCCGCCGCGGTACGTAAGAGTAACGTCTGCGGCGGGACGACGGGCGGGCGAGGTGGGACGGCCGCGGGGGTCCCGGAGAAAGATTCCGAAAACAAGGGGTCGTGACATTAATTCGATCGACTGTATAAGCCGCCCGGGTCTTAATTTTATTTCCGAACGACTACTACCACTACAACTACGGTCCGTCGTCCCCCGCGCGAGCGTCACACGTCCGTTGTTAAATTATGTAAAACAGAAACGGCGGAAAAGAGAGAAAAAAAAAAAAAACCAAACAAAATTACGCGAATTTTAATTATTTTTTATTCGACGACGATTAATCGGGACCGGAGATATTATTTTCGTAACGCGATAATTATGTTGTTATATTGATATTGTTCGTCGGCTATAGACGTTCCGTAAAATATTATCCTGAAACCTTTTTTTTCGGTCTTTTGTAATCCGATCGCGATAATCGAAACGCGCGTTTTTTTTTTTTTTTTTTTTATTATTAATTTTGCGACTTTTTCGTCGTTTGCACATTCGCGTTCCGATAATAACAACAATATCACGTCCCCTTGAAAAACGCACGGTATTCCCAACGGTAATACGATAGTTTATTACGTTTTCGAACGCGGTGTATAAGCGCCTCTACGCGCGGTACGCGTCCGAACCCTATCGCGCAATGACGACGTTGCGCCGAAATCGCCGCTGTCCGATTGACAACGTGCGCGCGATTAAATGTGTCTGCTGTGGCGAAGCTCCGCGTCGAGAGAAATCGCACATCGATATAAATAACAGCGGTACGGTATTCACGGTTTACCGAGGTACCGCGCGAAATTAGATTGCCGCGCCCACGCGGCAAACCGTAAAACCCCCCGGGAGTCTCTCGAGATTATCGCGGAACGGGCTCTCGGAAAAATACCCGGCGATCCGTTTGATCGCGCGTACACTCGCCGTCGCGGAACGCATTGACTCTCGCCGGAATCCGTTTCCGGGAACGTTTAAGAAACGGGCCGCTCCGCGATCGTAGCGTTTCGACACTTTTTTGATTTCCGTCGTTCCGCCGAACGAGATATTCCGATTTTTCGTCCGTGGTCGGCGGGCGATTGGGGCGCACCGTTAAAACGCCGGAGCCGGCCACCGCTAACGGTTACCCCGCCACGCCGCTCCGGCAACGAGGAAAAACGGACGGACGCGGCGGCGTGGCCGGACCACGCCGTCCGGTGTATTCACCGGACATTATCGTACCTACCGAAACCTACGCGTGCGCGTTCGCGTTCGCGTGCACTGTGTCGGTTCGCGACGCGTCGACGGTCGTCGATCGCTACGTGACGCCGTCACAGCGATTCCCGTCGATTCGGCACCGCCGTCACGGTTTCTTTTCGTTATGCGTGTACCGTGCGCAGAGTGTTGTGGAAACGCGCTGTAGACGTCTTATCACAGTACCGCAACGTCGAACGCGTTCTCGTGTTATCGTCCGGGCTATTGTCGATAATGTCCCGTACGAGCGCACGATAACCGCGGTACGCCCGTAGTCGGACGCGATATTCACCGTGACGTCGCACAGTAGTTATCGGTAACTCTAATCGAATTACAACGGCGTGAACAATCGGTAAAAAAAAAAAACAAAAAAAAAAAACAATAAACCGATGCTACGCCGTTTCCGGTGCCCTACGATTTAAACATCGCGCTGCGGTGACCATCGCGACGACCGCCAGCGTATCGAATCGCTGTTTTCGTTAAACTCATTGTACTCCGTGCAATATTTGATTGTTGTTTCTCGTCGAACGCTGTGATACTGCAGCGTAACATTTACGCGATACGAACACTGTATTGTTATCGGCGGTGTTGTCTGCGCAAAATTATTATTCTGTTGCTATCCGAGAAGTTTTTATTTTTTTCTAATTCTTCTACCGCAGTATTTCGGTCGCGTATATACTTGAAAATATAACGCGAGAGGAAAAACGGTTTCGCCGAGTGACGTTTAATATCATTCCTGTCAATATCATTTCCCGTCTCGCCCCGACCCCTCTGTCGCGGGATCTCGTTTCACTCGACTTGACGAACACAGTGTAACCCGTCTGTCGTCGTTGCGTTGTCACCGGGAATCGCGTGTGTGAAATCGGGCGTTACGCTTGCCGCAGAATAAGCTCACGAGATATACGCACGCGCTGTTTGCGAAGTGTCGTTTTATAAAAAAACTCGTGTCAGCCCTTCGCCGTCTGTCGCAAAGCCCGAGGTTATAGTGATTTTACTACCCTGCCGTCACCGAGTTACGCAGTTGGTAATAACGGCCGAATCGAAAATGGCCGTCGAAAAAATACCCGAAATATTACCGAAATGGCCCAAACACGTCCGAACGCCAAGATCGCAAGACGAAGCGATTTATAATATAAAATATATATTAGATTCTGAGGAGTGTATCGGGTTTACCGTAGCGTGTGTCTGTACATTATTAATTGTCTACCAAAAATATATCGCTTATGATCAAAAAACTTCGTAGAGACTTATCGTATCATTTTTAATCTAGTCAGTGCGGCGTTGTCGGGGAGGCTATTTTGTGATTTTTCTTACTATTTTGTTAGTCAACGGAAAAACTTGACGTGTTTTTGTATAAATTTCGTTTATTTCCGCAGGTCACCTCGGCAAAAACGGGAAAATCCACTGTCCATAATGAATACCCCGCTCAGAATCGTTTATCGTAAACGACTTTCTACTATTGCGTATACTGCAGACATAAATTAAATTGTGCTTTATACGAAATCCTCTCTTCCTCCCCACCCCCCTTCTAAAACGGTAGCGTACCCTTTTTCCCGACGCCGCATTTCGGGGGATTTTCCTTCGGCCATTTTTTTTTTTTTTTTATTGTATTCGGCCGTAGTATTTTCCACTCGCACCGCATCATTGTCCTCGCGCGGCGGACACATTACCCGCGTCCGGCCGTTTTTCGGTATAATATTATTATGACGGACGTTTTTTTTTTTTTAGGCTTCCATTATATCTCCTCCGCGACCGCAGCCTCCGGGTCCTATACGTATACACTCACACACACACATATATATTGTACATACATAATATACGCGCGCGTATACCTATCGCGTGTAATATACGAAAGCCGTATAGTCGTATATTATATTATCAATTGCGGGGAAGCTCGCGACTATTGTTTTCGGGCCGTCCGCCGACCGGAAGCGCCCACGCGCCGAGTTCCGTTTGATACCTCGCCGGCCGCGGACGCGCGCGGCGTTTCGAACGTCGGCCCGGATGCCGATTTCGTTCTAATCGACGGGTCCGGCCCGGTAAACTGTTCGCCCGCGTCGTCGCGACACAACTGCGAGACGCGAATTATGTGTAAACAAGCCGCGGACCGTCGTCGGGCACTGCGGTCGTACGGCCCCCCCCCCGTTATTGTACGCCCGGTGAGTGTGACGGGAGGGGTAAAACGGGAGATTACCCGGGTCTCGAATCCCCTCCTTCCTTCCAACCCCCACCCATCCCCGCATAAACTTTCGACCGAGTCGTTCGGGTGGACTTTGATTTCGCATATTTTTTTTTGGCGTTATCGTACCGAAACCGAGTCGGCCAATTATTAATACGCCCACGTAAATAGATCGGAGAAAACGAAATCGACGACGTACGTATACAGGGCGGTTCATTAAGCGTCCTCGGCCCATTTTCTCGGTTGAATTCCGTACATTACAGTCGAATCATGATTTTCGGAATTTTTAAAATGTAGTACGAAAGCCGAATAAATAATGTGAAATATATTTAATATTATGATTCGAATAAAAAAAGTAAAAAATTTATATTCGCAATATTCGCTGTAACATCTATGCGTTTATACGTACACATAACACTCGTGTATAACATAGTCGATCGAAAAAACATTATTTACCGAATGACAACTGTTATTATTATTATTATTATTATTATGAATTCGATTATTTTTTTTTTTTCGTTTTTCAAGCCGATTGCCGTTTAATTCGGATCCTACCCCCCCCCCCAAAAAAAAAAAAAAAAAACCCGTACCACCTCGCCGCCGATTCGCCGATCGTTCGAGTTTTACGGCGTTGTAAATATTATCCGGGCAATATCGTTTACCCGCCCGGAACCCCGATAATATACCGCCGGTTATTATAATATTGTCCACACGCTGGGACGGCGTGCGCGACACAACAATCGGCTCGTGTTTGATTATTTATCGACCGCCCGGCTAATTGCAATAAATATCGTATTCGTAACGCGCGCGGCGCCGAGCGAAATCGATAACCCGAAATAATTATCGCGATCGCGGTGGTGGTGGGTGGGGGGGGTGGAGAGGGAACGAAGTTCGCCACGGTCCTGTGTACCCGCGCCTGTACGTCGCATTCGCGCGCCCGTTTTGCCGGTTGATTAGGCGCGACGCAGAAACATTACCCGCGTCGAGGACCCGCGTCCAACTCGCGCTCCGCCATCGTAAACCGTTTTCTTTTATTATTATTATTATTTTTTTTTTTTTTCAAAGATCCCCGGGACCGCTCGAGGAACGTATTAGTTTCTGCCGTACGAGGAAACGTTTCCGCCGCGCTCGCTTTCGGCCGGAAACGTTCCCTATGTTTAATCGGCGCCCGCGCGGAGTGGAGATCGAAATTGTCGAATTCGCTATAGAAGTTTACTCGTAAATCGGGCGAAAGCGTTTGCGAACGGAAACATTTACACACGCGCGACGACGGTTCCGCCTGTCATTTTCGACGTCGTCACTGTTCGATTAAAAGTTCGACGAAATTCCGGCAATTTTCGAGTCGCGGTGTTTTTTGAACGCCTTCTTGTTGCGTTCGATCGTTTGATTCTACGCGGATACGATTTTTCGTTTTGTTATTCGGGCCGAAACGCTTGAAAATCGAACACATAGTTCGCGTCACGAGTCGCGTTATTATTCGCGTACCTCACTGTTTCCGGGTTCCGCAGAACGGCGGCGTGGGACGAACGATTCAACGGGCCAGTCAAATTAAGTTTGAACGAGAAATTGATAAACCGGGAATGGTTTGAGTTGCCTAAGTGCGAGCCCGATGTAAAAAAAAACGTTGGCCGCCATCTTGAAAAACCGGTCCCGAAATCGGGGATTTCCGGATAGTTCGAAAACCGCGAGTACTATTTGAAACATGCCTTTTGACCAGAAATATCAAATGCTAAATTATCTACAGGATTGGGCCCGAAACCAAAACGATTTCGGTACGCTATTAATACGGTCGATAACGGACGTTCAAAACTCAATCGTTCGTCCAAAGAGCTTAGGGACGACTTTCGCGACTCCTTCTCCCGACCCGTTTCGCCCCCGGCGTTATTGTTGTGTTTTTTCCGGGTACCGCATGATCGTCCGAGGCATTGAAGTTTCACTTCTATTTTTTTATTTTTTTTTATCGCAGTTTTTTCGTATACCACATCAAACCGTATGAAACGATCTATAAAATATGAAAAATCTAATCTCGTCTCCGGAAAAATATAGATTCTTCTTCTCTTTTACCTCGAATCTCTGTCGACTGTCTTCTCCACCATTCCACTATAATTCCGCCGTCTTTTTCTATGATTACTCTCTCATCTCTCTCGCTATTTTTTTTAACTTTTAAACGCGATCGCCCATTTTATCGATTTGAATATTATCATCCTACTCCGGGCTCGGCCTGTGTAGTCGACTAATACACCATATAAAAACTACGAAAACGCGATTTTCGTCTTGCACGGTTTATTTTTTCGAAAAATACGACTTAGCTCACCGCCCCCACTCCCGCCAACCGTGTCACCGGATTGAGCCGCATCCGTTTTCCGCCGAATACCGTCGGAGGATACCGTCTCCGTACCCCGTTCTGCGTTTCCGCGGGTACGCGGTCGGATCGCATCGTCTGAACGCCGCGCTCGTTCTTCTCTTTCATCCACCCCTTCCCCCCCCTCACCGGAATATATTTCGCGACAAACGATACCGGAGCCGAACCCGGCCGGTCAGCCGTCCGACCGCTGTTTCCACTAATACCAACACTCTATATAATACCTCTATATAATAGGTACCGTAGTACACCCACCCACACACATACACACACACACACACACACACACACACACATATTGTATATACACTCGACTCGGTCGTATTCTCTCTCGCCGACCGATCAATATATAGTCCCTTCGCTTCGCCCCCTTATGTACTGCTCCGTCGCACCCCTCCGACGGCGTGCACGGTCCGAGTGTACCGCGCGTTACGGGCAGGCACACCGCGCGCCGCCTCCGCCGCCGCCGGTCCGCGAGAGGCCCCCGCGCACTCTTTTAAGACGGGATTCCCGTCGAGAGATTTATTTTTGAAAAGGTCCGGTCAACCGTCACTACATATACCTATACACCGATGTATACCGCGTACCGCCGCCGCCGCAGCTACCGCCACTTTAATACTACCGCCGTCGCCGCCGCAACACTGTGTATCGTATAACTTACTTATACTTACTTATTTACTTACTTACTTACTTACTTATGTGTATAGTATACACTGTATACACGCGCACGACGGTATAATAATGTATACGCGTACGCCGTGCACACGCCGTACGACGACCGAAGGACAGCTGGGGGGGGGCAATCGAGATACTGCGCGGGGAGAATACAGAGCGATGATGAAATAACGAGAATTTCGTTGTTGAAACGATTATGCGATTTACAACCGGTAGAAAATTGAATACAATAAATTAATTTTAGTCGTATGCAATGCGTAATATATAGGTGTTTTGAAAAATTTAAATGTACGGCTCGCTGAAAAAAAAAAAAAAGTCCGTCTTAACTCCAATAGTCTAATCCAATGTAAGGGGTGGAGGGGTATGAGATTTTTGAAAATTTACAGGGGGGGCGGGCGTAGAATAAAAAAGGTCGAGAACCGCTGGTGTACATAAAAGTATAATATATTATGTAATATACGGGGTGCTAACCGCTGCAGTTCTAAAACGTTGCATTTTTTGCCCTCGTTATTTTCGGCGGTAAACCGACCGTGTGTTTTCGATTTTCAAACGGCCGCCTACATTGAAAATTCCGTAAATAGACGGAGTATTTGGATGTTCAAATGTTTGATTTACCGTCAACACGTCGACGAGATATTCTACTCTTGAGTTTGGATGGGGAGATAGTAGCGGCGCATCATTATTGTGGCGGAACAGCGCGCGGTGTTTGTACAATAATTCGCTACTCTCCCCCTACCTAAGCTACAAGACGGGCGGTTCATCCCCAAAAATAAGGATGGTCAAATGTAACGTGTCAGTAATGGTGTACGCAGGTTAGGGGTTATATTCCTTCACACCACTGGCTCAAAACACAAAAAAAAGATAAGTACGTAATTTAATTTCGAAATGCAATTTCGGCCAGGTTACAAGGAGATAAGCTCGATGTATATTATTTTATATTGATTTGACTTTTGTTTTTTTTTTTTTTAAACTCGGCTTTTATATTACCAATTACCATAGTCGAATCGGGTAGAGAAGACCATTTTACGATATTTATTTGCGAAAATTCGCTCCAGTTAAAAATTCTTAGATACTCATGTCAGAGCTATAGGTCTCCTAAATGGTGGAGCCATGGCGTTCTACGATATTTTAGTCAATATTAAACATTAATTGTTTGATTGCTTGTGTGGTTTAAATATTTAAGCTATGATTACTTGTAAGTTGTAAGTTGTAAAAAAAAAGCTTATACTTTTGACTTTAACCCCCCCCCCTTCCCGGTTTATATTTCTGCGGGCGCCCTTGAGCGTATTGTCCGCCCTTTATATGAGTATAATAAACCCGCGGATATCGTATAAAGACGTAAGCATAGTAATAATAACGTAAGAAAACACCGTACGCAAATTAATCGCCCTCTTGTTTTATAATATTCTGCAAAACGCAATATTATTATTACGATAAAAATTAATTAAAACTTTGCGCCGAAATATCTGCACGGCCGTTATAATATCATCGTTATGGCTGCCTACGGTTCTTTCCTCCTCACCCCCTCCCACCGTTAACGATTACTTATCATTGTCGTATTTACACGGCGCGACTCGAGAATATTACGATAAATAAATTATAACGCTGTACACAGGTAGGTTAGGTATCGCGGACGTAATTCATAAATTATAATCAACCCCCCGCCGGAGTTAAAACTCATTAATCCTAATTTTTCGAATACGAAATAAAAAAATAAAAATAAAAAAAAACCACAATACAATATACTTATAATATATATATATATATATACACATATCAATAGACCGTGGATCGCTTTCGTAAAAACACAATACTTGTTACGTTTTCAACGATTTTTTTTTTCCGCCGACCGCGGCGTATATAACAATTAAGTTAAATTTTTAATTTGACGTCAAATTCATTAACATAATAATAATAATAACGATAACGTTATAAGCGGCTATGCCGGCGAAAACAATAGCTGTTTCGAGTTTGAAAAAAATCATCAAAGTAACCGCCGTAAAACAATAACGATATCGCGCTGAAAAATCACGAGAATAATCGCAATAATATTTCAAACATTTTTTTTTTTTTTATTTTTTTTTTTCCCATTTTTTTTTACTGTCGTCGTCGACTACCTCGTTCGCGCGTAAAAGTCTCGCGGAAATACGGGAATTTTCACGGAATTATTGCGAAATTTCCGCAAAGTTTTAAACGTTTATTGCGCGCGCTATACTCCCGGCTGCTATAGTCGATAACGAAACTAATGGACCGGAAAAAAAAAAAAAAGCAGCTTTAGTATTAAAAATTTGTAATAATAATAATAATAATAATAAAAACCATCCCGATAACGTATGCAGTGTTAACGCGCGCTGTACCGTCGCCTGTGTACACGAATATAAACATACACGTACATTATATTGTTATTGCTGTCAATTATCGCGTGTCCGGCGGAAGGAGTAGTAAAAAAAAAAAAAAAACGTGCATATAAAACGGAAAGTTTTAAAGCGTTTGTAAAAAACTACCCGTTAACCGGCCGAAAGAAAAATCTGCCGCAGTGTTCTATAGGCTCCGGGAAATTTCCTTATTTTCTCACCCTCTCACCGTCTCGCTCTCTCTCTCTCTCTCCCCGCAATTAGGTTGAAAACCTCTCGCATGGCACCAGCGACGAGGTGAAACGGAAATGTTTCAGTGACGTTTTAAACTCACGGCTTAATGTTCGCGTTTAACGCGACGGCCTCCTCTTAATGTGACGCGCACTCCGACGGAACGATTCCGCGTAAGTCGGTTACGCGACACTCGTCTTCGTGTCCGTATCCGCGTCAACCGGCTCGCGATATTTCACCCGGGTCTAATGGCCCCGGGATATTCTACGCGCGGCCCGGTGTAAAAGCGCGAGAAAATTTCCACTCGACGCGGCGGAAACAGAATTAAATAGGTTCGGTTTTTTATTTTATTTTCTTTTTATATTATCGAATCCGATACAAGATTGTTACCATCTAAAATCAGAGGCAATTCGAGTGAAATTTTAAAAAAAAAAAAATTCACGGGAGGCAATTCGTGCGCGTCCGAACGTATACGGGCGGGACGAGTGTCGTGCATAACAAAATTCGTCCAAAATCGTTTTGAAATAGAAACTCTATTCCGGTCGCGAAATGAGTAAAACCGAACCGCGGCCGGAGTACGCGATAACAAGGACGACGAGTGCAGGGGACATTTAATTAAAAAAAAAAAAAAAAAAACCAGCGACGACGTGTACGGCGGTACGCGTTCGTGTATACCGTGTAATTCGTTTTTTAAAAATAAAAAAAAACGGAATCCGGGAAAAATGCAAAATAAAAAATATCTCAATCGTTCTCTCGTCAGAGTGAAATTTCAATACGGGCAAACGTCAGCCGGGGTACACGGGAGAGGAATTAAAAAATCGCGTGGGATTCGACGAACCGCCGTCGCACGGTTTACACGCACGCGCGCGCGCGGATGCGTCCGGGATTAAAAGTGTAAAGAAAACGTCCACGGGTCGGTCTGCTGAAGGGGGGGGGGGGGGATTGGGGGGGCGGGGGGTTGGGTCAAGTGAGGAGAAGGAGGGAAAATGAACAAAAAAAAAAAAAATAATAAAAAAGGAAAACTCATCGACAACCGCGCACGTATATTCAGGGTACACGCGATACGGTCGAAATTTACCTGCGGCGATTGCTGCGCGCGTGCGGGACGTGCTCGAGCCCCCCGGACGCCCGTCCCGAGTACCCTTGTTCCCGGGACGCGAACCGAATTACGCGGCGCCGGCCTAGGGACGCCGCGCGGTCGGAAAACCCGCGCGCCCCGGAAACACCGCCCCTTCCAAGCCTTTCCCCGTCGTCATTATCACTGTCGCGGCCTCCGCGAATATTGACGATAATTTTTCAACGGGAATTTACCATTCCAGAAACGTCGGAATTCTAACGGGCTCTGCCAAGAGAACTAAATGGTCTGTATCCCGCACGGCCGTGGGTATAAATGTCCGACGGAAAAACGTCCGGTAGTAAACATGTCCGGCCAATTGTAACGCTGTACGAACCAATCGTACGGTGTATCGATGGAACGGATTTTCATTGGACATTTACAATGATATTTAGAATTTCTATCGGTTTTATTTGTGAACCGATATCACGAAGAGTAGTAGCACAGTTTAAAAATTTTATTTATACGTCGCGTACAAATGTCTATTGCGTTTCCGTATCAGCACTCGACGACATTTATGCGTAATAATACGGTAAATTTACTTTACGCGGCCACCGCGATCTAGTCGGTCGGTCGGTATACTGAAATTGTATTTATTGCGTTATTCACAGAAGCATTACAATCGTTTACCTCCGGACGTTTTTTCCCCGGACAATTTTTTTCGGATATTATTTCCCGGGGAAAAAAAAATTCGAGAACGGCGACCGTTACGATATTACGACAATAGTTTGTACGCGGAGACTTACCGGTATGCGTCCTGAGATGGGCTTTCAAATGCGAGCTCTTCGTGTACACCTTCTCGCAGCCGGGATACTTGCACTTGTGTATCTTCTTGGTGGCGTCGGGCGACAGATGGAGTCGCGGATGGAACGCGGCACCGCCGGCCGCGGCGGCGGCGGCAGTGACGGACACCTGGACCGGCATGATATTGTTCTGCGTGCCGGCGACGGCGGTCTCGTGTTGCGTCGACGTCGCGGCGCCCGCGGTCCGACCGCCGACGGCGGCGGTGTTGGTGCTCGCGTTGCTGGTGGTGGTGCCCGCGATAATGGCGGACGGCGACGCTACGGTGATCTTCAGCAGGCCGGCGGTGGTGGTCGCGGCGGACCCGACGGCTCCGGGGTGCGCGGCCGCGACGCTTGCGGAGGTGGAAGTGGCCACGGAAACGACCGCGTTGGCGGCGGCGGCGGCGGCGGCGGAATTTCGTGCGGCGAGGGAAGTCCGGGCGGCCGAAGCCGTTATGGTGGCGGCGGCGGCTGTGGCCGCGGCTGCAGCGGCGGCGGCGGCCGCGGCGGCGGTGGCCGCGGTGGAAGAAGAAGATTGCTGCTGCAGAGACGTCGACGCCGACGCCGCGGATGACGACGCGTCCGTCTCGTCCGGCGGACTGGGCGGCGGCGTGGCGAAACCGGACCAACAGGTCGACGGCGAACTGCTGTTGGACGTCACGCTGCTCGCGCAGTCCAGGCCCACCTCGACCTCCACCCTCGTCGACCACGTGGTAAGCCACGGGGACTCGGACCGCGTGGGCGACGACGACACCATCGGCTCTTCCTTCAAGTAACGTTCCATCTCGTAACACGTCTGCGAAAAACCGAAAAAAAAAATTAATAATAATAATAACAATAATAAAAACGTGACAATATCGGTAACGCGTAGACCGTACACCGCGCGCGAAACTAGGTGTAAAATGCCGCTGCCGAAAATATTTTTTTCGCAACCGCAAACGATACCGGCCGAAAATGACGAGATCGCGTGCTTATAATCGTTCGGGCCGCGCCGCGACACGGAAATGTTACGCGGCCAAACGGTACGCAGAACGCGGACGCCCGTAATTATCAACGGCCGCCGCGAGTACTGAACTGCCGTGAAACATAATCCGAATTCGCCGGCCGCTCGAAATACGCGTACGGGCGCATAACGACGAAACGGACCCGAACGGATTCGAAAGCGATACGTAATGCGCACGTATAACACGTAAATTGTACGCCTTTTATGTATACGACATGACCAATAATACGGATAAAGTCGCGCTACCGTAACCGGTACTTTAGCCGTGAAATTTGACAGTATACCGGACGTGTGCGTTTCACTGCGTTTCCCTACTGTTCCGGTCTAAACGTAAAACGGCAAATTCGGTTGCGCGTGGCGACCGCGGATCCAGACAAATAGTGTCCATTCGAAATCGACGGGGAGGAGAAGTTTCCGCGTGAAAAACGAAAGCGTATACTTATTCGGGGTACACCACGCGGAGTAGGGATGGAATGTATAAAATATATCTAGCGTTAAACAGGAATTTAATGACCAATATAAAACTCCCGAAAAAATTCCTAAACAACTATCGTTACGCGCGCATAACGGTTGTTGGTCGGAAAAGTTTTTATGCATTGAATTTCTCCGCGAGGGCGCCCCGACGCAATCTCAGTTCAATTATAGAGGGCCGCGAGTCGAATAAGTTTCGGAAGAACTTACCGGACATTTACACTATAGCATTAATGTATGCAGGATTTTTTTTTTCTCATCGCGATCCGTTACCGTCGTTGTTAATCGATTTATCGATAGCTTCTCTACCCCCTCCCCCCTCAACTGCCGTTCCTATTTGGTCTAAATATTATTGAAAAACTTTTGTAACGCTTGAAAAAAAAAAAAAAAAAACTATATTAATAATTGATAGTCGAATAACAGTCGAATAATCGTAGACGATTTTTACTCAATAGAATGTTTTAAGAACCAGGAGACGATGACGGGGAGTCGGTTAATATTAACTTAAGGCATGATGAAGATTAGGTACAGAAGGATATAAGGTGTTAGTGTAAAGCCTCGACAAATCCGCATTATAATTATTTGAAAAAAAAAAAATCATCAACGGACATCCAATTTAATTTACTTAAAATCCTACGAGAGAAAATGGCTGGTTTATGTGGATACTAACGAAACTCCCCGGTAAATAACGATACGTTTAATACTCTGAAAACAGATAGTAAAAAAATACGTTATTATTTCAATTAGAAAAAAGAAAAACCGGGAAAAGTTTTTTACCGCCCCAGGGTTCCGTATCTGTTATGATATTATTTTTCCCATAATAATAATAACGCGCTGATCCCTGCGGCCATCTGGCCGACAGTTTTTTTTTTTTTTTTGCACCCTCGTTCTTCGCGGAGCAATTATTCCCTATCAATCGCTGTCCCCGGAGAATATTAGGCCGATATCGAATTATTTTTAAGCGAAAGCGAAATTACCGCGGCGAATCGTAATTTCGCAACACGACGGAAAAGATATTTCTCGGGACAGGCGCATTTACGAAAAAAAAATAAAAATAAATTCGGTTGTGGAGGAGGGAGGTAGGTTAAAGTCGTACACTTTCATACTCTTACTGACAAAGATGTTTAAATACTTTCAATCGTAGGACTGTTTATTTTTCAATTCAAAATGTCAATATTTTATAACGTTAATTTTCAGCCTTTTAGATTACTTTGTATCACTAATTTTTACATTTTATAACTTTCCTGGCGAATACGGCCTACATGATGACGCGTAATTCATATTATTGTGATGACAATGCGCACTATTGTTGCAACGCGATGCGATATCGCCGTATATCAGTGATAATTTTCTAAAAGCAGGAAAACCGCAAAAGTTATAGGAATGACAGTAACAACAATATGTATATTTGCAAATATCTAGTAAATAATAAAAGTAAATGAAAATCAATATCGTATTCGTTTGCCCCGATGACAGAGACCACTTTTGAGACTATCCATTAAAAATATTTTTTCACCATAATTTTCATGAAATTTCGGTTGGAGGAGCCGTTCACTCCCTAAAACAACCTCCCTTATATACGTGCCAGTTTCCGGAACGTTTATACTATTCGTAAATTAATTTTTTTTTTTTTTTTTTTATCGCTTATCCGTGTGTCGTTTGTATTCATTTTGTTTTCCGTGTCGTCGTAACACGTGCGGTATAAATTACTCACTACGCCACCCGCGACCCGTCAATACCGCCGAAGCGATTAACCGCAAAATCCGCGACGGAGCCTCGTCGGAGTACACCGGACGACATGACAGCCGAGCCCACGTAAATTTCGTTTATCAAAAAAAAAAATATATAAATATGAACAAAAAAAATTACACGTTTTAAATCCGTCGCATATGTTTCGGCGTGTGGGCGGACTAAAAAAAAAAAAAAAAACCAAAAAAATACGATCGAGAAGGTATCGGACGGCGAGCGGAGGCTAGCGAATCTCGGTCGTTTCCTGCGATAAGACGCGGGAACTCGTTTGAAAAATTCGAACATTTTCGTTTGCGAAAGGCCCCGGTACGAAATCTCGGAGTTTTCACGAAATTCACTAAAATCCAATGACACGCGCTACAGAACGACGCGACTAAAGAAATGAGGTGACGGCGGAGGAAACGTGTTACAGAACATCGAGCAGCCGGAAACATTAACCGTGGGTAACGATACGGTATTTTCGTACGATGTTTCCGGAGACGGTGAAAACGCTCGTGTAAAGCATAATAATAATGAAAATATTTTATTTCGCCATTCCGAACCGCGAACGGAAACGGCAGTGGCGACGGCAGTGCGTTATAACAACAGAGAACGAATGCGCGTGGCCTCGACGATCGACGAAAGGACCGGGCGTTCGAGGTGTTCGGGGCGTTCCCGCTTTTCCCGGTGATCCGTGAGAAAACTCGGGGACAACGAAAATCCGGATCGATCGCGTCGACTCAGAATCCCTCGACCGATCCCCGCAGTGTTTTCCGACACTACGGTTTTTCGTCGACTGACGTATACGTTCCGGACTCTGCGGTATAATGAAATAATTTTTTATGGGAACAGTAACGGACCGGACGAAGCGGTAAAGGTTTTCGTTTCAGGTAGAAAAAAAAAAAAAAGAACCATCGTCAGGCGCCTTACCCGTACGTTGCTGGCAACGCTCCGGATCTAAAACTAAAACACAAAATAAACGCCGATTGAAAACACCGAAATCAACAGCGGCCCGCCCGCGTGCGAATTAATGTCCCGCGCTTAATTTTTATTATATTTTTTTTCTGCCCGGCCCAATTCGCTTTTCGAGTTCTAAAAATCGGCCGTCCGACGGTAATCCGAGCCGCCCGTGCCTCGATATCGTTCTAGGATCCGAACGGTAAACGAAAAGAAAAAAACATTGACGGACGGCGCGAAAAACCCGGGCGCGACAAATGTGCCCCGCTCGCAACGGCGCGGCAACTATTTCATAATGCGTACTGAACGGCGGTGTAGGGGCGGCCAAAGACCGAAAGGCCGCGCGTTCTCAAAAAACTCCGTACGGGCGGCGTAGTCGGCGGCACGGCAGCTCCGCGCGCGCCGAGTATAATGGCTTTTTGTCGAGTTTTAACGAGCCGCGAACTTCATGTTCTACGCACGCGGAATAACTTAAGGCCCGTCGCCGTCGTCGTCGCCGTCGTCGAAAGAGTAAACAAACACCCGAACACCCCAACCCTCCCCCCACCTCCCACCCGGCCGCACGGCCGCCCGCCCGCCCGGCAGTAGTCAAAGTTATCTGTGCGAGCTCTACACGCGCACGCCAGAATTCCCAACCACCCCCCCCCCCCCCCCCGCACACCCGCGCACACATGGACCGTGCGCCCCCGAACGCCGTCACTCTTTTATTAATCCTCCGCCTAAATCCGATTTCCCCGGTACACATCCACGCGCGCGCGAGACGCCGAACGGCAATCTTGTTTGCGACCCTATATACGTATATATATATATATATATATATATATATACATAAACAAATACATATATACACACAGTATGCAGGTACGTACACACTATGCGTACGACGATACGCCGTATTCGTATACACTTCACTTGTCTCACGTACACGTGTTCTTCTCGTCGTACGGTCTCGTGCGCCGCGTGTGTGCATACGTATTATACGGTCCTCCCGCCGCAACCTCTCGCCGGCACCAAAGCGCGCCTCGCGCGCTGATCGAAGCGGACGGGGTAAATACGACGACGCGAAAACTACAGAGACGACGGCGACGGCGGGAATTACAATTAATACGGCGCACACTGAAAGCGCGCGTTCAAAGGACGGCGGCGCGCGCGCGTGCGGTTAATAACAAACGAGAATCGGGGGGCGGACGGGAAAAAAGATGTGGAAAAAAAAAGGTCACTCCGTCCGTGCGGTGGTTACGGCGCGCGGCGCACCGGTCTCGTCGGAAACCGTGACTACAGTTATTTATATTAAATTAATATTTATACGCGCGCGCGTACGGCGCCCGACCGGTAGGCACGTGCGGTAGGTACGTGCGGGACGACCGTATCGGAACGACGAGCGGCGCTCGGAAGCCGCGATTCGATTAACCGATTCGGATCGGGCCGCAGAGCGGAGACGTTTTACGGCTAGTGACGGACCCGCGAAGGCGCGCGTTAAAATTAATGACTGAAAGCGCGGGGCGGCGGAATCCGTGTGGCGGCGGGAACGAGGCGTGCGGGAGAGGAAAAACGCTATAATGTGTGCGAGTAGCGAGGACGGTCAGTGGAGAAAGCGACGAACCGAATTCAGCGGTGAGGACGGG